CGCAACATAATCATAAATTATACTTTTTAAACCCCTTTTGGGCCAAATAAAATGGCTTGGCAAACACGTGTGAATAAAACAAAACACAACTCCAGGTAAGTTTTTCATGAGGAAATGACGAATTACTGTAATGCATTGTTTTTTGTAGTAATGCAGTAATGTTTAGTATTACAGGGGGAAAATTAATATTTTACTTGGTACAAATGTGAGTACAAGTGCGTCACAATGCATTTTTAAGCTGGATTGAAGTGGTCGGTTTTTCGTTTTTCTTCATACAAATTTGCTAACATCACCGTGATATCAGCAGCGGTGAAACGACAGAGGTGCGCCCCTGTAGACCGTCGGGTGACCAGCGCAGAACTCCACGCTCCACGAAGCGAAGCACAACCGACGCCCGGTCACGCTTTGCGGACGCCTTGCTCCACGGGCTCAGGGATCTTTCAGGGGCGGTCCTAGATTCCAAGTTTTAGTCCAAGATTAGTCCTGGTTCATTTCTGGTTTAGACCTGGTTTAGGCCTAGTTTAGTTCTGGTTCAGTCCTGATTTAGACCTAGTTTAGTCCTGGGTCAGTCCTCGGTTTAGTCCTGGTTTAGTCCTGATTCAGTCCTAGTTTAGTCCTGGTTTTAGTCCTGGTGACTCATGATTTAGTCCTGGTTCATTTCTGGTTTAGACCTAGTTTACTCCTGGTTTAGTCCTGTTTTAGACCTGGTTCAGTTTTGGTTTAGTCCTGGTTTAGATCTGGTTTAGACCTAGTTTAGTCCTGGTTTAGTCCTGGTTTAGACCTAGTTTAGTCCTGGTTCAGTCCTGTTTCAACTCTGGTTTTGTCCTGGTTTAGTCCTGGTTTAGACCTAGTTTAGTCCTGGTTTAGTCCTGTTTTAGACCTGGTTCAGTTTTGGTTTTGTCCTGGTTTAGTCCTGGTTTAGTTCTGGTTCATTTCTGGTTTAGACCTGGTTTAGTCCTAGTTTAGTCCTGGTTCAGCTCTGGTTTATTCCTGTTTTAGTTCTGGTTTAGTCTTCAGTTCAGTCCTGGTTTAGACCTGGTTCAGTCTGAGTTCAGCTCTGGTTCAGTTTTGGATTAGTCCTGGTTTAGTCCTGGTTCAGTCCATATACGGTGCAAAAGTTCAGCATCTTCTCAGTTATTTTGTTGAAAAGTCTCTTAAATTGTTCCAATAGTCGTGTCATAGTTTTACATTTTAAACACAGTCATATTTTACTGTAACAAATCACTTTAAAATGACAGTAACAAGTAAAAAAAACAAAAAACACATTTCAGTTTTGACGTAACTCGCCCAACAGTGATTATAACCCGGTTTAAATCTCACAAGAGTCAGTTTTACGTGACGTGCTGTAGGACTTTTACTGCAGTAAGTAAATACAAAAACACGAAACGACAAAATGGACTGATTCTTGCCCAAACACGAGTTGTGGGTTTGGACGGTCGGGGCTCGTTTGTGGCACGTCGGACTGACTTTTATCCAACTTGATCCAGAATTAATCACTTCCACTGTCCTCAAACCACAACAGTCTGAGCACAAAGGACTCCCAAAGCTCCCCCTTTAACATGTGTTTTCTTTTATTCAGCGATGCCAGAAAGACTCGATTTTCTTACTTCAGCAAAAATACAGAGACTGAAGCAAGAAAATACTCAAGTAAAAGTCAAAATATCACAAGAACAAACACAGTGCTTGTTTAAAAATATGTTTTGTAAAAGTATTTTGCACACAGTTTGAGGTCTTCTAAAGCAAATGGTTTTGATAAAGATTTGTGTTGAATTGTGTTCAACAGAAACAACTGAATCAATAGTTTTGTTTTCCATTTGTTTTTTATTTTATTTTTTATTATTGTTTTGATTAAACTATGAACATGTTAAAAATAAACCCTCAGCTTTTTCTGCAGGACTCAAACTATTCAAAACAAAGATGTAGTGGAGTAAAAAGTTCAGATACCTGCTCTCAAATGCAGTAGAAGTAGAAGTAAAAGTAAAAAGTATACTCTTTAAAATGTTCTTCAGTAAAGTACAGATACATTTTTTACTTAAGTACAGTACTTCAGTTCAGTACTTTATCTTCGTTACAGTCCCCCACTGCTCTTAAAGTGTAATGTGGCGCCATCTAGAGCCAGGAGACAACACTGCGCTCTTTTATTTTAGTATTACTCCGAAACAGTACTACTACTACTACTACTACTAGTGCTGCTACTGCTACTACAACTACTACAACTACTGCTACTACTACTACAACAACTACTACTACTACTACTTCTTCAGCAACTACTACTACTACTACTGCTACTGCTTCTACTGTTGCTGTTACTACTACTTCTTCTGCTACTACTACTACTACTGCTACTACTACCACAACTACTACTTCTTCTGCTACTACTACTACTACTTCTACTACTACTATTACTACTACTACTACTACTACTGCCACTACTATTACAACTACTACTACTACTGCTACTACTACTACTACTACTACTACTACTACTACTACTACTACTACTATTACTACTACTACTACTACTACTACTACTACTACTACTACTACTACTACTACTACTACTACTACTACTACTACTACTACTACTACTACTACTACTACTACTACTGCTACTACTACTACTACTACTACTACTACTACTGCTACTGCTTCTACTATTGCTATTACTACTACTTCTTCTGCTACTACTACTACTACTGCTACTACTACTACAACTACTACTACTACTGCTACTACTACTACTACTACTACTACTACTACTACTACTACTACTACTACTACTACTACTACTACTACTACTACTACTACTACTACTACTACTACTACTACTACTACTACTACTACTACTACTACTGCTACTACTACTACTACTACTACTACTACTACGCTACTACTACTACTACTACTACTACTACTACTACTACTACTACTACTACTACTACTACTACTGCTACTACTACTACTACTACTACTACTACTACTACTACTACTACTACTACTACTACTACTACTACTACTACTACTACTACTACTACTACTACTACTACTACTACTACTGCTACTACTACTACTACTACTACTACTACTACTACTACTACTACTACTACTACTACTGCTACTAACTACTGCTACAACTACAACTATTACTACTACTATTGCTACTGCAACAAATACAACTACAACAACTACTACTACTGCTACAACTACTACTACTACTACTGCAAACATGAATTGGGCTGACAGGGACTCATGCTGTAGTTTACTCAAGACTCATATTAATTATAATTATAAGTACATGGTTAGAATTATACTCAATTACAATTACAGTACAATAGTTTAAAAATGTACTCAAAAAAGTACAATTACCCCATATAGCTACTCATTTACAATAATGTGAGAATTTGTAAATAGTTAATTAAGTACTCAGATTTGTTACTGAAGTAAAACTACAAATACAGGGGCAAAAAGTTACTCAAGTAAAAGTAAAAATATCACATGAAAAAATCTACTTAAGTAAAAGTAAAGTTGGCTTACCTGTGTAAAATATGTAAGTCTAAGGTTTAAAGTAAAAAGTAAAAGTATTTCAAACAGATAAAGTGTTAATAATTTATTTATTTTTTTCTTATGAATTTTGTGTATTTATTTGTGTTTACTCAAAGCCGAAGCTTGAATACAGAATCTTTAGTGATTATTTTTTACCACAAACATGATCAAAATAACCACTAACATTGTAAGAAAAGTACTATTTAATTTTCAGACCAGTTAAAAAACGTAGTGGAGTAAAAGTAAAAAGTACAGATATCTAAATATTCTAAAAAATTAAATAAAAACTATAGGTTGGCTACAGTACTTCACTAATAAAACAGTTCATGTATCAAGGTTAAAATGACTGTAACAGGTCAAAGGTTAATTATTTTGTTTCCACACTGATTAGTCCCAGTAGATCCATGATTAGCCCGGGGTTATTCCTGGAGCCGCTGGACGTCCCGTGACTGTCGGGAAATGGCAGCACGGCGCCCTCTAGTGGACACACAGGTAAAGTACAGTCAATTCATAAAGCTACAACTTTATATACGCACCATTTCCGCTTTTACCTGACTTCAAAATAAAACATTTATTAAAATCTGAAAAGCTTACGTACACTAACAGTCAAAAGTTTGGACACATTGTCTCATTTAATGTTTTGTGTTTTGTTTTAGTTTTTTCGTAATTATTTTTTATGTTTACAACTTCTTAGAAACAGTTTCCAAAGTCCTGCACAATACAGATAAAAATTACAATGAAACTATAAAATAAAGATCTCTTTAAGTAAATATAATCAAGAAGTAATAAGGGCAAAATATCAATAAATAACAAGGTAAAGCCATAAAAATTAATATAAATATATAAATATGTAATATATATATATATATATATATATATATATATATATATATATATATATATATATATATATATATATATATATATATATATATATATATATTATATATTATATATTTATATTTATTATTATATTTTCCTACCCTTTAAAATGAATATTAAACAAACTAAAAACGTCTATATTTGTTTTTATTATATTTTCCTACCCTTTAAAATTAAAATGAAACAAACAAAAAACGTCTATAATTTCCTACCCTTCAAAAAAAAAAAAAAAAAAAAAGGAAAGAAAAGAAAAAAAAAACCCACGTCTGTATTTATTTTTTATTATACTTTACTACCCTTTAAAAATAAAATTAAACTAACGAAAAACTTCTATATTTATATTTTATTATATTTTCCTACCCTTTAAAATAAAAATTTTACAAACAAACAAACGAATAAACAAAAAATGTCTATTTTTTTGGGATTATATTTTCCTACCCATTAAAAGTTAAATTAAACAAACAAAAAACGTCTATATTTATTGTTATTATATTTTCCTACAGACTTTTCACTCGTCTTACTTTGAAAATCCCTGACAGCTCCGCACGTACTTCCGCTCTCCGTGGTGCCACTCCTCCATGCGCTGTGAGTGGATTTCAGCATAAACACATGATTACACAAGTCACTGCCGCGATCTCTACTGCCCCACTGTCCCACTCCACCCGGGGGACAACAGGACGTCCTCAGATCTGCACTTTTAATCGATACAGGAAGCCATTTTAACCAAAGATCAAGTTATTTTTGCTCAGTTGCTACCTTACCTCGGCTAACATCCCTGACCCTTCTCGTGCGCAGGTAAGTGCACTGGACATACCGTTAGCACTGCGAGCTAATCTCTGTTAATTAGTTGTTAAAATATGATAAAAGTAGCTAAATGGATGCTTTTCCCTGTCTTAATAATAGTGAGAGTTAGTGTATTTTATGATTAGACTTCATTCAGTTTGATTACAGACTACAGGTCAAGTTTGTATCACCTGTTGTCAAGAAAAAGTAAAAGTCTGTAGGCAGTAATAGAATAAAGGTAAAAGTCTGCTGGAAAATAAGTTGTTTAGGAAGTTGTTACTACGACTACTAATACTATTACTACTACGACTACTTGTACTGCTACTACTACTTCAACAGCTTCTACTGCTGCTATTACTATTACTTCTGCTGCTACTAGTACTACTACTACTTCAACAACAACTACTACTACTACTACTTCAACTACTACTACTACTACTACTTCAACAACAATTACTACTACTTCAACAACAACTACTACTACTTCTACTACTTCTACTATTACTACAGCTACTACTACTGCAGCTACTACTACTGCAGCTACTACTACTACTACTACTACTACTACTACTACTACTACTGCTACTACTGCTACTTCAACTACTACTGCTACTTCAACTACTACTGCTACTTCAACTACTATGGCTACTGCTACTGCAGCTACTACTACTACTACTACTACTTCAACTACTACTACCACTACAACAACTACTGCTACTACTACTACAACTACTTTGTAATGAAGAAACAACATTATAACAGCAAAATTCAGCTAAAATGTTTTCTTCTTTTAAATTGACACCTACTACTAGTACTAATACTACTACTAGTACTACTACTACTACTAGTACTACTCCCAGGCCTGTTGACAGAAATTTGGGGGCCTGGCCAAAAAGCTTTACATGGGCCCCCCTCTAATATAAAAGATAGGAAGATAGTCCAGTTCTGGGCCCCTAAAACCCTGGGGCCTAGGACAACAGAGCCCTGACTACTACTACTACTACTACTACTACTACTACTACTACAACTAACTACTGCTTTGTAACTTTTCTGTAGAAGAATTCATCCCAAAATGTTGCTGCTTTGCCTGGAATGTTTCACAGTATGGCATTAATGTAGCCTGTCTTTCTCAGGCATGTGACCTGAAGATTACATGCCAGATCTGTGGAAATATATGACCGAGTAAAAATAAGATCTTTCAGGAATAGCAATAGCATCTCCATAGTGACAAGCAGGTGAGGGATCCTGTTACCAGAAAAGTTACGTTGTGTGTCTTTAAGTCCTTATACTTCTGGCTCCTTATACTTATTCTGGGCTATATATTAATGGTATTGATTACATCTTCACGATATCAGCACTACCTAAGTATTACTATTTTTGTTACTTTTACTACTACTACGACTACTACTACTACTACTACTACTACCAGGGCTGGGTATCATTAAGAAGTTGCTGATATGATACATAGGCCATGATACAATACATATCTTGAAACAGTGCACTTTCCATTTGATACGATATATTTCAAATCGATTCGATACGGTTCAATTAAAAAATAATGGCTAAATCATGGCTAAAAATCTTTGTTAAACCACTTCTTGTGCAGCGTTGATATGAAACACGCCCATTTTAATCTACAAAATAGGGAAAATGTCAAATGTGTTCCATAAACGAGTTTCCTTCCTCTAATCAAGAAACAAAACTTTCACTCTGTAACAAAATAATTTAGTAAAATATACAGAAAAAATCCTCTTGGAGATATATCGATACAGCAGCTCATGATATCGATACTGTATCATCACATTAAACGATACGATATATAGATATTTCGATATTTTTGCACACCCCTAACGACTACTTCTACTAACTCTCCCGAATTTACTTACACTAAATCAATACAGTGTTGAATTTAATGTCCACAAATGTTGGAGCTTTATCATTGTTTGTTTTTGTATGTGTCATATCAATCTCACGGTTTAAAGTCCTTTCAACTTGCATTAGATAGCACTGATTTTGAAACTGCTACTGTGGGAAGAACAAAATCACGGTTTCTTATTTTTTGCTGACAAGGGAGACCTTTTGTGTTGGTTTCTGTTTTAATATTGATAGGCCCAGTAATTAAAAAGATATGACCCGTAAACCAGGTCAACAAATCTGCAATCTGACAGTTTACACAAAGATTTTACCTGAGAATTCTGACCTCCATCTCAGTTTTAAACTCTAGTGACTCTAAAATGCTGTGTCATGTAGTGGATTTGTTTCGTTTGTACCAAAATGACTGCGCAGTTCTGCCAAAGCCTACGCGTATCATAAATTAAGAAAATAAAATCGGAGAATGAAGTGGCTGGGCTTTTTGCCTAAAAATAAAATAGTTTTGTTTGTTTTTTTCTCTCAAAAAATTCTGTTTTTGATTAAATCTTTCCCCTTGTACAGAAAATTGCCAATGATTTCATTTTAAACCTTTAGAGACTGGAGAAATCTATTTCTGTTTTCTGAATGAGATAAAACAGACGTCACAGTGGGCGTGTACTGGTGACAGTGAAAATAGACTCTTTTCACTCTTACGTCACAAACCAGGACGACTTTTGGAAACATGCAATGACAACTTCTGTCACTTACAATCAGTGTTGTGAAGGTTACTTTTAAAATGTATTCCCCTACAGATTACAGATTACATACCCCAAAATGTAGTTTGTAACGTAATCCATTAAATTACTTAAAGTAAGTAACGTAATCTGATTACTTTGGATTACTTGATATTGTCTTGCTTTTTAAAACGACATGAATGTAACAATCACATCCTGAAAATTCTTGTTTGTTTTCTTCAAATTGTCTGTTGAGCCCAAGTCTTCATGAAAAGGCTTTTGTTTGCTGTAGAGAAGCAAAGTTGAAGATGTTTTATTTGCTAAAAGACACAAAAAGTCCAGTCTTTCCTTAACCAGATTAAAAATATTGATAGAGAAATGATTTTTATATGAGATCACTGCTGCTTTAAATTATGTCCACCTACTGTTAGTGTCATATTGTTTAGACCTGGTTCAGTCCTGGTTTTAGTCCTGGTTTAGATCTGGTTTAGACCTGGTTTAGTCCTGGTTTAGACCTGGTTTAGACCTGGTTTGGACCTGGTTTAGTCCTGGTTTTAGTCCTGGTTTTAGCCCTGGTTTAGACCTGGTTTAGACCTGTTTTAGTCCTGGTTTTAGTCCTGGTTTAGCCCAAAATGTGAAAATCCATGTAATCCATTTATGTCAATTTAGTTATGTTTATTTTACTCATAATTTGTACTCTGATTACATAACTCAGGTACATGTAATCCATTACTCCCCAACACTGATCACAGGCAGCTCAAAACTAGTGAAAGACTACAAGTTCTTTGTAGAAAAGTACTTGTTTGCCAGGAAAATAGAGATGAATGCATTGTAAATTATTCAAAATTATTTATTATTTAATTATTTCTTATTAAAATTATGAAAACTGAGGTATGGTTGTAATTGTTGATATGCCAAACATAATGGAACGTTACAATGGCATGTAGATGAAAAAATCTGGGCTATTTTCTACTTTTTCTTAGATTTTGTCAGACTTAATACCACAAACAGAGTCCTCCGGAAATTGTCGTTGCATGTTTCCAAACGTCTTCCTGGTTTGTCACTCTAATCACTCTAAATACAACTTCAGAGAGTCAGTGAGTGTGTTAAAAGCTCTGAAAAGTCGATTTTGCTGAATAGTCCTGCTTTAATTCTTCTCTCTGTTATTTCAGGGGGAATGGAGAAAGCCAAACAAGATGCTTTTGACCACGCCCGCCTCCAGGTCATCCAGGACGGCTACAAGTCCGCCTTCGAGTGCATCAACCAGGGCCTGAGCGCGGACGAGGCCGGGGACAAGGCCCGCGCCCTGGAGCTGTACCAGAGGGGGCGCCGTCACCTCCTCCGGGCCATCAGCGTGCCCTCCGACGGCGACGAGTGCTCGGGCATCGCCTGGCAGTCTGCGAGGGAGATGCAGAAGAAGATGCAGGAAACGCTGAACAACATAACGACACGAGTAGCCATTTTAGAAACCAGCGCGGAAACAAATGCTCCAGAAAATCCTCCAGAAAATGCTGCAGAAAGTAGACTGTACCCGAATGTGCCCGACATTTCAACCAAAGACAAACCGGAAAGACCCCCACCGCCCAATATTGTGGTGAATGGGGCGGGAGCAGCAGGTGCAGTTGGAGGTAGGGTTGAAGAATTTTGGGAAAATACTGAATTGCAAATTTTCTGACAAATAAGTTAATTGTCTGATTGCAGCTTGTTAGGTTTATCTAAACATTAAAACAAGAAGAAAGACAAGAGATTAATTCAGTTTTACTCGCGAGGAGAACGGGCAGAGAGTGGGCATCAAAACCAACAGTCTCCACACGTTCTGATGACTCAAGGCCGTTCTCCTCTTTTTATTTCATTAGGAGGCCCAAGTTACAGAACGATAATTCTCAAGGGGAAGGGGAAACAGCAAAGACATAATAAGAAACTGGTGCAGCTATGCATAGTCCAAACACATAAAACATGATTAACAATCAGGAGGTGCCTTTGGTATGGACAGACACCATCATAACTCTTGCATGTGTGACAGTGGAAGTTGGCTCCATGTGAGGAATCATCTCGAGGTTCACTAGAGCGATAGGACACTGCACACAGTTGTCAAACACACAGAGGTTATTCAACAAGTGACAAGTGATTGGTACATTATAAATCAAAGAATTGTAGTACATAAATGGTTAACTCATAGGCATAGAATATCACACAAATATTTAGCAAATATGGGATAATAAAATTATTCTGACACAGCTAAACGATTATTGGGATAATTGTCCACTACTTCCGTGACTGAATAATCTTACACGTACTCCAAAACATGCCATTTGTGGAGAAAAAAACACACAGGAAATGTTCTTTTGGTGTAAAATGTTTTGATTTGCACAACAGAACACTACGCAAACATCTCCACATAGAAGTTTTCACCATGTGTCATTATATTACCTAAAATGTAATAATTGTAGTCATTTTCAAATTTAAATAGTAAGTGATTTTTGCTTCATAGTGTTTATGCAATATTCCCATGCAGTTGAGAACATGTTTGTAGACGTCTAAACTTAACAGGATTAGCAGATTTTATATAGATAATAGGGGTTCATGGATGTATACTAGTTTATGTGCTCTTAGACTTGTCCTGATACAACTCACGATCATTCTAAAGCCTCAGGAAAGGTTCATTTCTGTCCTATGAATGTGATCTTTTTTTATATTAATACCTAAAGCTAAAGTAGTATCTGGCTTACAATACTTTTTACAACTCTAATGAAAATCAGGAGTTCCCACTGCAGAATTAAATTATAATTGCGAATGACAAACAACTAAACTGGTTTAATGAGTACTTATCTGAATATTTTATTGTGTTATTTGACCTTGTTTAAACTCAAGGTATGATATAACTTTTGGGAGGTTTCGCTCAACTCATTTGCATAAACTATAAGCGCTGAAAAAAAACCAGCTTCTGTCGGACTAAAGGACACGACTCAGTGGAATATGAGTGTTCTTTCTGTGACAGAGGGATGTTGATGATGATGATGGTGAGTGTGTTCTGTGTGTGTCGCGTTGGAGATGATTCATGTTTTCAGAGACGTGTGCAGGTTTAGTGCAGATCTTTATTTAACATAATTTCACTCACTTTATTTATGCTGGTCACTTTATTTATTTTGGCTTCTGTTGTGATGAAAAGACTGAAAAGTGTTTGTCTTTTGGACGCATGCATACTTAACTTTATGTTGTAGTAACCGGGATACTGCGTTTACATGCACCATGACGAAACCGGGATACTCAAAAAACCCGATCAAACCCGGGACACTGTTGTGCTGTAAACACGCTCACTGAATGGCACAGTGTCTCCAAGGAGCCAGAGCCCAAATGTGGGACTGTGAGGCACAAGTCTAGTGTTTGTGTCGTCTCCTTATGCTATGCACAGCAACCTACAGTCGGTTTGTCGATTAAAAATGAACGTGATCGACGAAATTCTTCATGAGTCAGCTAATCGATAATTGATAATCATGCCCATCCCTAGTGGAGATGTAAGCCAGCAAGTTTTTCCATGCAAAAATATAGGTTTTAATCTAAATATAGATTAAATACATTGTCATTATTGTAAAATATATCTTGAAATCATCCCAAGCCCTCTACTTTGGGAACTACTGATGTAAATAATTGTAGCCCTTTGCCTGGTGTCAGATAATTGCACAAACACATTTTTTTATTCAGTTGCCAGCATTCATTTTGATCATTTCGATTTATCATATTCCATCTTTCAGCTGCAGGTGGCGCTCTCCCCCTCTCCCCCAGCATCCAGCCCAGCGCCCCGGCCGGCCTCCCTCCGGCCTACTCCCCCCAGGCGGCCGACGGTCACGTGTCGCTCTCGTACGGCACGGACTCGGGGGAGATGTCAGCGGTGGGAGAGGACTTCTACAGCCAGCGCTCCACGCCGTCCCCTCAGAGCGTGACGTGGGAGGACGGGGAGCTGCTGCTGTACATCCCACACGGGGTGCAGATCTTCTTCGTGACGCCGGAGGGAGCCGTGAGCGCGCCGTCGTACCCGAGCTTCCTCCGACTGGTCAAGTTCACCCACGAGGCGTCAGACAGGACCCCCAATAGACCCCCGGCGTTCCTGCAGGTGAGAGTGGCATGGCGTTTAAAAAAAGATCGATAATACTTGATTTATCCTGAAGGAAATTCATTTTTAAGACTGCAGCAATGATTCATAATAATAATAATGATAATAAAAGAATAACATATAAGTCTCCCTTTGCTCTCTGCATTAAGTCACTCCCCCTTCAGAGCACTAGCACATTACAATCAGCGTATGTCATGCTACTAAAGCAGGTTTGTGAAGTTGTAGTATATTGTTTTGTATATTGTTTTTGTATATTTATGGAGAATTGTCGTGTGGGAGCATGGGTGATTTAGGCTTTTGGGGCAGAGCCTTGGACAGAATCGTACTGCTAACAGTAAGGAGGGTTCGAATAATGCCTGGGAGAGATCACTAGATTACCTAAACATGCATGGTTGACATTTAAAACTTCTTCAGACATGTTTTTAATGAGGGAACAATGTTATAACACTAAAGAAAAGCTCCTAAAAGCTGATTCTTTAAGTATACCGTATTTTCTTTTTGGACTGGCACCAGCCAAAAAATGTGCAATGAAGGAGAAAAAAACATATATGTCTCAATTTTTGTGGAAATGTATTTTATAAAATCAGAGACCAGGAAATGACATTGTATCTTGAAAGGGAAGTTATAGTTATAACAATAGAACAGAGAACAACAGGCTGAATAGGCGTTAATATGTTAACATCACATATGAACAGTTCTTCAGATAACTATAGCATAAACAACATAACATAAGTTTACCAAACTCACGATCCATTGAATTCTTCCTCCTCGGTGTCACTTCTGCGTGACCTCCGGAGATAAACTGTAGATCCATGATGTGGACGGAGCGCCACTTCCTCTTCTGTGTAGCTGTCGTCAGACTCAGCATCAGTTGCAGTTAGAATTATTCTGGCCTTTCTGAATCTCGACAGGATGGTTTCGGTGTCACTGAAGTTCAGACTTTGTCCATCCATCCAGTGACTTCCAGGAAAGTTGCATGGTGCACCCTCCTGGTTGTCATGAAGCTGTGTTCTCCATTCCCGCTTTCCACCAGTCCCTCACAAGTTTCGCGCTCACTCCAAACTTTCTTTCTGCTGCTCGATTAACGTTTCCTGCTGCATATTTCTCTACTTGCAGCAGGACAGCGGCTGTTTTTGCAGGAGACATGCGCAAAAAACTGATAAACAAACCTCGAGCCTCTTAATCTATAAATTGCAGGACCACCCAAACCATGAAAAAAAATCAGACTTACAGTCCGAAAAATACGGTATTTGTGGAGAATTGTCTTGTGGGATCATGAGTGATTTAGGATTTTGGGCGGTCCATTGGGCAAAATCTTACAGCTAAACGTGTGGAGGGTTTGAGTAGGGCCCGGGAGAGATCACTAGATTACCTAAACACACATGGATGGCATTTAAGACCTCTTCAGGCATGTTTTTGATGAGGGAACAATGTTATAACACGGTAGAAAGCTCCTAAAAGTTGATTCTTTAAATGTAATAGATGTATTTAAATAGAAGTTTAGGCTGATATTGTGGAATAAAAGTAACACAACAAACAATATTTATAATTTATTTAAGGTGGCAGTAGATCTGTGAGTTCAGTGTTCAAAACCTAAATTAAGTATTGCTGTTTTGTTGTGTCTCTGGGCAAGACACTTCACACGTCACTGGCGGTTAAAGGAAGAGCTAGTTTTACTAACCCAACTGAAAATACGGTTTATCATGCAGCAATATGTTAAAAGTTTTTAAGTTTATCTTCTTGTTTGGTCCTGATTAAAGCCTAAATTAAACTGTGATGGACTCTTGGTTTGGTCCTGGTCCAGTCCTGGTTTAGCTCCAGGTTTAATCTCAGTTTAGTCACAGTTTTAGTGTGTTGTTTGTGAAGTGTGATGTTCAGATAGTTTAGATTGACATTGCTTGTTTTGCATAATTTTCAGTAGATTATATACATTCTGTTAAGGATGTAACGATATCCATATTTCTTGATATTATATTTTCAGGATTTGCATCTCACTGTACGATATTTATTAAGATATTTTGTGGAGGCTGAACAAAAAGATTAATCTGTCTGTAATATTTTCCTTTTTAAATGCTTGGACATTTAATCCAAAGAAATAAGACTTAAAAATACTTATAACAGTTATTTCATCATGTAGAATGGACTGAAACAGAGCAAAGGATCATGGTCTATGTAGTTCCCTCTGTTTTTTTAGCTCTTGCTGCACCATAACCGTTCATATTATTGACGATATGATATCACGATATTTCTGGTTTTGTTTCATCCCTACATTCTACAAAACAGAACCATTTGAAGTCATATGAGTCTGCTGACTTTTAGGTGATTACTGATCACAGTATTACTGGTTGTCCCGGTTAAATGCCATGAAGTAGAATAAACTTGGGTTCCTAACTTGTATTAGACATGGTTACAAAGCTCAAGCTGTCTCAGTCTTTGAGCATCCAGCCACAATTCAACCCACGCTGTAGATACGGATGAGAGGGAGTCAAAAGGAATCCTCAAAAATGTCACGTGACCTGTGCCCTCGGGCCCTCTGATTGGTTCCTGAACACCCACCGGGAAATAACTGTCACCTTTGTCTGTTTTTGTGTAGCATTGTTACTTTTAGATGAATTTATCATCTCAACATTAATACCTGTGTCCATATCTTCTTGTCCAGGCCTGATCTCGTCAGGTCTCAGAAGCTCAGTAGGGATATAAAACAATAACCGAAATATTGTGATATCGTTTCGTCAAAGTTCTCACAATAATATCGTGGACCGTGGATCACAATATATCAACCTACAAGTCTCTTTGGTGCAGTAATAGCTAAAAAAAAACAGAGGGAACTATATAGACCATGATCCTTTGCTCCATTTCAGTGCAGACTACAAAAAGAAATAACAGTTCTAAGCACTTTTAAGTCTTAGTTCTTTGGAATTACATCTTGTTAAGGCATTTTAAGAGGAAAAAGTCGCATATTAAGAGTTTTAGCTGTTTAGCCTCCACAAAATATCGCAATAAATATCGTACCGTGAGATGTGTATTGTAAAAATATCGTACCGAGAGATGTGGATATCGTTACATCCCTAATCGTGAGCCTCCCCACCATATCGTGAGCTTTCTCGAGGTCTCGCAGTAAATATCGTACCGTGAGGTTCATACCGTGACGATTATCGTATCGTGAGACTTGGATATGGTTACACTCCTTTTGCATTGTAAGAATGAGGTGTGTGTGTGAGTGTTAGTGGTGGTCGGAGGGGCTCCAGGGCAGCTGTGGTTAATATAATCGCTCACCACCTTCAAAATCTCTGTGAAGCATCTTTGAGTGTCCAAAAAGTAGATAGTCTGAATCTCAATGGGACTTCCTGTTTAAATATTTACAATAAATAACAAGGGCTGTACATTTGTAGAGGTCTAAACTTCAGGGTTTTGGGCTGGACCATAAAATCAGATTGTGATCTCATCCCTCTGACCAGCTGACTTTTTGGTATAACTGCCATATTATGATTGGCTGCTTTTCTGATTAATGCAGCTCCATGGTCAAAAACATTTTTCTTGCCCACTCCTACTGACAGGTACCTGTGAACTATAACCAATCACAGTAAAAAAATAAACTTTCAGAATTGGTAAATAGCTTTAGTTACCTATTAAACACTATTAGAGAAAGAAAACATGAATGGTTTTTGGCATGTCGCTCACCCCTACTTCAAGGCAGTTAGACTTTTCCATAAAAATACAGGACAGTTTGTTGATCTCAGAGGATCCTTTTACACAAATAAGAATAAGCACGGCAATCAGTATTTTGAGTTTCAGTCATAATACTAACACATTAGAAATAATACATTTAAATTATATATTAAATATTATGTTTTTTCTTATCTATGTTATGTTGTTTCCTCAACAAAAACAGGCCTGGAGTTGTGTTTTGTTTCATTCACACATGATTAACACACAAACCCTGCAGATTTAGGCTGAGTTTTTCCCTCAAATAGAAAACGCTCTGTGCCCCACTGTGTTTTTAAACTTCATACACCTTCACTAGAATCATTTGGATACTTTCAGCCCTGGAATTGCCAATCTTTATTGAACGAAAGGTAAAAGGTCGATGTTAACTTGAAAACTACCTCGTCCTGACAGAGTATTTTGATATTTGGAGATGTAGACAGCCCAATAATGCATGCTTACTCAAACATTTGTGAATGAAACACAACTTTGGGTTTGTTTTTGATGAGGTAACAACATTATAACATGGCTAAAAGCTCACAAACATCAATTCTTTTAATAATATGGGGCCTTTAACATACAATTAAGAGTGAAAGAAACTAGTAATCGACGTCACTACATCCTCTCTGGCTCCACGATGTAAGAAAGCAGGTTTTGATTGGACAAACATAACTCTAAACCCGCTCCGATTGTTGCACAGATAGTTACGTTCAGAAGTGCCAGTCAGAGCCAGCCCCTCCCCTGCAGCCTGTGGCCTTTAGCCTGATTACAGACTCCTGATCTGGGTGAGTCATCAGTGAGAGCTGAGCGTGGATCAGCTCATTATTTACCCTCTGGACTCAGATCGTGTGACTTGTGTTTGTGGAGTTTAGTTTTAAGCCTGTAGTGTGATGTCAGCTACCCAAAACAAGACAAGACAGCTAAAAATATTGTTAAGAATTCAGCATGTCTTTGTCAGATTGGGTCTTTTCCAAAGTCCTGTACCTGATTTTGTCTCGCCCCAGTACAGATATATTGTATAAGCAGCTCCTGAGATCAAAATAAATCTGCTTCTCTTAATTAGAAAGCGATTTATTGTCCGATAATCAGGGAATGTGCTGTTGCTGTTGTTCGCTTAATTGTGATGGTAAAACTCCACTCTGGTCTCTGAAAGTTGTGAAAAATGCTTATAAATTCATCAGCAATAACTAGTTCCTCCTTTTGCAGCTTGAAAATGGTGCAATGCGAATTTAAAATGTTTTATTTGATGTTTTTATTGGAGGATCTCAATTTAAAGTTCCTGTTTTTCATTTAGTTTTCTTTTTTTCAATCGGAGTTAAGATTGCTCAATCATTATCACGATTATTTTGGTCAATACTGAAATCACGATTATTCAAACGATTATTTTTTTGTTACACGATGCATTTATTCTGCATTTCTCACTTTCTCACACATTGTTATTGATAATTTATGCAAAACTTTCCAACTGAAAATAAATATATGCTACAAATATGTATCTTAGAACAGTTTTGCGACGTATAAAACGTAAAATTAATAAAATTAACTCGACAATAAATGAAATAAGGCATAGAAAAACATAAATGTATCCAAAATAAACTATATATCCAGCTGTTCTACGATCTTTATATTTAAAAATAAAATAAATATACTCATTTATGTAAAAAATATCCCGAAATAAACTTTGTTTAGCTTTAAATCGTTTCAACTCAATTAGATGAGTTTGGAGATCGAAATAATGATACATAAAAATTAGATTAATTGCACAGCCTTAATTGAAATACAATGTAGGAAAGGTTACTCTTGTTTACCTGAGGAATATTTTTAAAAGTACCTTAAAAACACCAATATAATGTTAAAATAAAAAAAATAAAAATAAAATAAATATAATAAAAAAATAAATAAAAATATGCAATTGTAGGTCAAACTTGTGCACTTTTTTACAATCTATCAAAAAATGAAAAAAAAAAACATAAAAAGGCCATACCTTAATTTTTCATGTAATTAGGTAAAACTCTGCAGCTAATTAGAACATGTTTTTATCTGCTGCAAACCTGGAAGTATCATTGGTTCTCTGTTAGCATGCTAGTTGTTATTGTTGCACATTGGCAACACAGAAAATTGTGAAAAGTGCTCAAAAAGTCATTGTGTTGAATAATTTGGATGTTCTATGTCTAAGGTAAGTGAGGAAGAACTGTTTTAAATGAAGTAGTTCTGTTTTTGATGTTTTTAAGACAAAAACTAGTATGGTATGTGTTAATATTTCCCTAAAAGAATACAAAAAGTACAATTAAAATACCAAAATAACGTTCATGAGTTTTTAATTTAGGTCAAATTTGTGTATTTTAAACAGACTCTACCTGTGAACCCGCCCATGTGTGCCGATATTTACAGCCGATCATGAGACTGAAACTGGACTCCTGAGTGGGACTTCCCCAGGTACGGCTGGTCCTGGGTGACGTCGCACTCACATGAGGAGTTATTATGTAAACCTGCGTACAGTGGCATGGCCTCAATCCTGAGACAGAGACACAGAGACACAGACAGGGAGGAGGAGAGACAGAGAGAGAGAAATGTCTGCTGACCTCATTAACCAAACTAAACAACGTGCTCAGAAGGTTGGGCTTGGCATAATGATAAAGTCACTGCTCACATGATCTCCTACAATGCAAATGCACATTTATGCTTTTGTTTTAAATGAAATGAGATGGGGAAAAAAATAAATACAATTCCTCAGTTGGTAGGAGAGTGTAGATTGGGCTGAATTTTTCTGCCCGACAGAGCAGTGATTGAATCCAACCCGAGCCCGAAAGGCATTAAGACATTTGTGTCCGAACCCGACCGAACTTGGCACAGTTAAAATCACACTTTTTTCTTCATCTGTCATCTACTCATGAAGAAAGAAAAGAAAAGTACATACTGTAGATTTACAGGTGCCACAGGGTTTTAAAAGTCTTTAAAAAGTCTTAAATTTGGGGTAGTCAAACCTGTAATGTCCCACAGTATGACATTAATCAGCTTTACCTTACATTATTCAATTACAGGTGGTTTTGTAGCTCAAAAATACCTAGAAAAACAGGCATTCTGGGTCGCCTCTACACAGATCTGACCTGCATTAAGACATTTGTGTCCGAACCCGACTGAACCTGACACAATTAAAATCACACTTTTTTCATGAGCCTAGTGACATACATAGGATATTGTTTGTGTGACTTCTAATGGACACAGACATAATATACAAACTCAGAATATAGCGAAAACTTTATTACTCAGCTCTCGTAAAGTGGTAAATTTAAAGTGCAGCATCTCATCCACATTATCCACAGAAATTGTCCTCCGCAAATAATGACACTAAGTCCACAAAAGCACACTGTTAATTCAGTTTAAGGCTTTATTCAAAAGTAAAAAGGCGAAAGTAGTTCACGTGTTTACATCCACACGGCGCATGGATTGAGGTGAAACTGCACATTAGTGAAAGTGACTCTACTTCCTTTTATGCTTTTAAAGTTTTGACTTGTATCTAAGCTAAAAGTGCAGTGCTCTGAGCGGCGTGTCAGCTGTTTCCTGTCTACAGTAGAAGTGTCAGAGTCCGATCCGAGCCCGATCATAAGTTTATAAGTTTAAATATTTGTCCGAACCCGTCCCATCAGACTTAGGTCAGGTTTCATGCTCTCGTTGGTAGGGCGTTTGTTCACTTATCAGAATGTTGGCAGTTCGAATCCTGCTCTTGACATAATAAACATCATTGGTTGAGCAGTCAGACCCACTGGATCTACTGCTTCGGCTCCCACAAATGATTTCTGTCATTAAATCCTTGGGAAAGTCATTTAACCCACCTCGCCCCAGTATCTAGTAACAAAATTGAGTATTTCATCCTCCGTTATTATGTCTTAATATTAAAGATGGGACAAGAGCTCACGAGACAAAATTGCCACAAGACTGCACTCAATAGGCTCCATTCATGCTTGCGTCACAAACCAGGAAGACGTTTGGAAACATGCGATGACAACTTCCGGTGTAGTTCCCGACCGACTGTGATCAAACCCACTGAAGTAAATGTGATCAGTGGTAAAATGAAGACTGCAGACGTATGTGCTGTTTGGAATCATCTTGAATTTGGCGCCTCGTCTCTTCTAATCGCATGTACCCAGTTTGCTCAGAGTTGTGCGTCAGTGGGGAAATGATGAAAACTGGGCCATTTTTTTATTGTTCCCAGATTTTGTCAGACTTACTATCGCGAACAGAGCCAGATGTTTCCAAACCTCTTCCTCGTTAGTGACTTAAGCATGAATAGAGTCTATTGCACACGTGAGGAAAATTATTTTGTGAAATTTTTGCCTCATATTTTGACATTTGCTTTGGATCAAAAAGAGGTTAAATTTGTTTGGCAACTCCTCTTGCAAAACTGTAACACCAAAAAGCAGTGCTCCAATGACTGAAACTGAAAAAATAAAGCAAAAATGTGAACTAAAAGCCACAGTTTATCAATCAAAAAAATCTAAATCTCATCTTGTCTCCATCGTGCCTCGTAGAAATTGAAATATGTCTCTAAACTAAAGTATTACTAATTTTTTTTTCTCTCTGTGTTGTCAGGTGTCTGAGTGGCTGTACCCGCTGATGTCCCAGTCTCCAGTCCTCCTCTGCACCTCAGGAGTCTTCATGTTCCCCGACATGATGGCGCCGGCCCCTGGGTACTTCGTGGGCGTGGTGCTGTCCTCAGAGCTGCCCGCCGCCGACCGAGAGCTGTTCCAGGACCTGCTGTCCCAGATGACAGACCTCCGAGTGCAGGTCAGTCCCAACACAAACATCTGTCATCTACCCGTGAAGAAAGAAAAGAAAAGTACATACTGTAGGTGCCACGGGGTCTTAAAAGTCTTAAAAAGGTCTTGAATTTCATGTTCCTAAATTAAAAGTTCTTAAATTATGTTGTCCAAGTCTTATTTTGTTTTTCTTTTTGGACCTGGTGTTTTTTGCCTGCATAATGGGTGCGATGTTGGTCTTAATTTTCATTTATCTGATCTTAAAAAGGTCTTAAAAAAGTCTTAAATTTGGAGTAGTCAAACCTGTTTCTGTGGATATCTCATTGCTCTGCCTGTAATGTTCCACAGTGTGACATTAATCAGCTTTACCTGACATTATTCAATTACAGGTGGTTTTATAGCTCAAAAATACAGAGAAAAACCAGCATTCAGGGTCGCCTCTCCACAGATCTGACCTGTAACTTGATCTGGTTTGGTCTCCATGAAGATAGAAAGGTTTAATGCCATACTGTGAAACATTCCAGACAAAACAATAACATCTCCATGGAGAAAAGCCTTTAAAATATCATAGATTATAGTTTTTGAGATAATGAAATGTCAATATCCCCCACTTCTAAAAGTAGGAATGGACGATTTACATCAAATTTAAAAACAATCTATCACACTTCACTCCCCCTAGTGAAACTACTGCACATCGCATCAGGTTTGTGAAGTTGTAGTGTAGTTTTGTATCATGTTTTTGTATATTTATGGAGATTTGTCGTGTGGGAGCATGATGACATAGACCTGTGGGCTGAGCTTTTGACCGGACTGTTCTGCTCGCGATAAGGAGGGTTCAAACAGGGCCTGGGAGAGATCGCTAGATTACTCAAACATGCATGGATGACACCTAAAACCTCTTCATGCATGTTTTTGATGAGGGAAAAATGTTACGGCATGGTAGAAAGCTCTGAAAAGTTATTTTTCCATGATATCCCTCCCTACCGTCTTTAAAATTTCTTGCATAATTCCTTTTAACATACATTTATTTTGGGTGTATTAAATTCTAGTCTTAAAAATATATGTATTTTTGCCATAGTAAAACATACTGACACCTCAAACAAATACTAACTATGGTATATGTTAGTCACCTTTTTCTCCTTTGATCTCTCAGCCAAGCACTCTAAACCGGTGATCCTTTTATTTTTATGTTTTTAAACATATTTTATTAAGTTTTCAGCATTTTAACAGAAAACAAAGAGCAGTCCAAGCATGTGTTTGAGTTTTTCTCATTTCAAACATATTACCCAATTAAGCGAGACACACTGACCTGGTCAAACAGGCAAACCAACCGCCCACCACAACACTGAGCCTGTACCTCTCTGTATAATGATACTGAGATCACCGGGCAAGTAATCAAGCAGAGGCTGCCACAACTCCATAAAGAAATCATCATTACCTTTCAATTTTGCACTGACTCTTTCCATGGTAAGACTCTAAAAATTTATTTATACTAGGGATGGGCATTCGATGAAATTTTCTTAATCGATCGTCGGAAGAATTAACGATTGATTATCGATTAATCATTAACGTGTGTATATTAAAATGATCATCATTATTATTACTATCTGCACTACTAATCTGCATAAATAAATTCAACTTTACGACATATAAACCGTAACCACTCTAGAGCCACATCAGCCCGTTTGACATTATAATGTGTTTAATTCAGTTTTGCGCAACTCTCACAAAAACAAAACTTAAAACCGCATCGCTAATTTGCATAAATTAAGCAAAGATAAAACTACAGCTCTTGTGCGCTGATGCGGTTCAACTTCTGTTGGATTAAAAGACATGACTCAGTGGAATACAGGTTAGTGTGACCATATTTGCATTTGTCAAAACCAGGACACCGTACGGGAGGTGGGAGGTGGGTCCTCGTCATCGACATTGTGCTACTCTCACCTGGCAAAACTTTTTCCCACTGGACACCGAAACATATGTGCTGCTTTATACACTGTGCACATGGACTCACACTTGTCCCGAACGCAACGGAAAGCGTGGAATTTCTTGTACAAGTCATCGTTAAATACACATTTGCGTTGCAGACTGACCGACTGTTTGTGTCTCGCTCCTTCTGAGTACAGAGAGCTACATGTACGGACCCCTGTTTGGTCACTCTACGCTACGCACAGCAACCTACATTCGGTTTGTCAATTAAAATGAACGTAATCGATGAAATTCTTAATGACCAATTATCGATTAATCGATTAATCATGCCCATCCCTAATTTATACCACTGGGTGACAGTTGGTGGCTTCTCTTGAATCCAGTTAAACAGCACACACTTACGTGCCAGAAATAGTAATTTAGCCACTAATTTTAATTTACTTTTGTCTGCCACTTTGTTTAATGGTGGCAGCCCCAGCAGAAACCAACCCGGATCCTTCACTAGTTTTAATTCCACTATGTTGCTTATTTCTTTAGTTATACATTGCCAGAATTTTGAGATTTTTGGGCAAGTCCACAGACAGTGTAAATAAGTCCCATCTGTTGCCTTACATTTAAGACATAAAGGGGATCTACTTGGGTCTATCCTACTCAGAAAAACTGGTGTTCTGTGCTGCCTGTGTAACATTTTAAATTGGGTCTCTTTATATTTGTTGTTGAGGAATAGTGAATGAGTCGACCGGATACCGTCCTTCCATCTATATTCCTCATAGTGGCGTTGGAGATCTCCTTCCCAACGATTAGTCAACTTTTCAATATTATGTTGATTATGTCCCTGCAAGTTTGAGTAAAATTGTTTAATGACACTTTTCTTTAAATTTAGATCAACAATAGCTTTTTCAATAGGAGCCAACTGCATATTCCCATGAGTAGCATTATAATTTGAACTGATAAAGTGACAAATCTGCAAATAAGCAAAGAAGTCCCTCTGAGCGACTCCAAATTTGTTCTGGACTTGCACAAATAACATAATAACATTACTATCAAAAAGATCACCAATAACGTTTATTCCTAAACTATACCACCTTTGAAAAATTGCAAAACCGGTGATTCTTAACCATAGGGCTGGGGCCCAAAATAGGGCTGGGACCACCTCCTTGGGGGCCCCACAATCATTACAATATAATGCATTTAATATGAGATAGGGCCCCAGGTTACTTTGTTCAAAAAAAAAAGTCAAGCCCCAAGATTGAAAAGGTTAATAATCCCTGCTCTAAACCCTATCAGACACTGCCATCTAGTGTTTGCGACGGGAACAGGACAGGCTCAGTGGGTACAAAGGATCAGTTCATAAAGTCTTTTTTACATTTCAAACCCAAACATCTCCACAGACTTCTGACTCTGATCTTGTTGATAACATGAAATGGACGACAAAGCTTTTTCTCTGTCACTACACAGGCTGATTCCAAGAGCAGACAGGAGACATTTTGAGGAGACGAGAGGGAATCAATATCTTATTTTTGTGCCTAACAGTGGGACAGTATAAAGCTGAAACTCAAATAAATGTTGATACAGTACAGTAGAGTGCTAAGACTTTCTGAGGATTCATTATTATAACATGACTAAATGCTCATTATAGATTTTTTTTTTTTCAAATTTCATAAACTTGACCTAGTTCTGTCACCAGATACAAGGTAAATATGTTCACATCAAATATAGCTTTTATTGTAATATAACTGTAATGATGATTTATTCTTCTTTACAAAAACATTGGACATGATGGAAAAGTTGTTTATATATATATATATATATATATATATATATATGTTATAATTTGCCGTTTTGTTTCTCGAGACAATTATCCAACCAGTTTTGATGCTGAAATCCAGTTGGTTTAAACCTAAAATGTCTCTCTCTGATCTGAATGGTCTGTACCTAAACCCCAGCGACTGCAGTCATCATGAGGCAGTGCTAGTGCAGCCTCTGCAGCTCAGGGAGGGAATTCTGGAGGTTCTGAGCTTTCACACAAGGCCTGTGCATAAACTGAGAACGAGACAAACCTCTAGGGATGGGACAATAAACAATAATATAGTTTATCGTGATAAAAAGGGTAGACTATAATCATTTGTGAGACATTTTATATCATCATGAGACTCACCAACAAAGATAATCTCTATTTTATCAACAGAATGTGCAGGAAAAAGCTGTTTATCCTTGATGTTTCTTCTAGATCAGTGTTGCTTTTCACTTATAACAAAGTACAATTCTATGATAGTCATAACATTAAAATGATCTTTATTCATATCCATAACATTTTAAACTGTCAGCAGCTTTTATTATTATCATGATATAATCGTTAATTGCAGTTATTTTAACCATGATAATCTTAACACCAAATTTGAATATTGTACCTTGTCTAATGTCCTCTGTCTGTAGGTTAAGGCGCTTATTTAATTGTAAGGACAAAGCAAAAAGAAAGAAAGAGGAGGTATTTTACTTCTATATGGTATAAACTGCTGAAAACATAACTTATTTAGATCACCATGTTACCGTTTATTGTTTTGAAAGCGCTATATTTACAGAAAAAACATATTAAAACATTAAATTAGTTTCAGTTTCGTTATTGACGCACAGAATTTTCCCTCACCTTGCTCCCTGTGCTAATTCCCTCTCCCTTCAGAGCGCTACGATAACACAATCAGCGTCTCAAATCTCACTAATGGAACTACCACACATCGCATCAGGTTTGTGAAGTTGTTGTGGACAGTTTTGTATCAAGTTTTTGTATATTTATGGAGAATTTTGTGGGCGGAGCAAAGCACAGAATCATACAAATAAGGAGGGTTTGAATTGGACTCGGGAGAGATCACAAAATTACTCAGAAATGCATGGATCTGAAACCTCTTCAGGCAAGTTTCTGATGAGAGAACAGTGATATAACCTGGTAAAAAAGTTTAACTAACTAATAAGGGTACAGACTGCATATACAGTCGTCCCTCGCTATATCGCGGTTCACCTTTCGCGATCTCGCTTTTTCTCAGCTTTTTTTAGTACAGTTTTGCATGCCTTTTTTTTTTTTTTTTTTTTTTACAGCATATGAACGAGTATTGTGTTCCTCCTGCTGCGTCCTGATTGGCTAAGGGATTCCTCTCTCCTGTACAGTACAGAATGTGTTCAGCTGCCAAATTTACATAAATATGTTCGATCTGAAGTGCTGCATGTTTGCAAGTTTTCTCCCGACAAACCCACAATGTTGACGAAACATTCTGCACCGACAAAGTCTCCTGCGGTTGCACCCAAAAGGCCGAGGAAGACACTAAACAACGCACAAAAAGCTGGACTTCTGGACACGCTGAAGGAATGAGAAGTTACGTGCTGTAGCAGAGTCCTGCACCGGGTCGGGTACCTGCAAATAGTTACTGAAACCAGTCCTAGTTTAGTCCTGGATTAGTCCTGGTTCAGTCTTGGTTCAGTCCGTGGCGTTGGCAGCGCAAATGTTTGATATAATCTCAGGTTCTCCAAAGATGGACCCGTGCAGGAGTCCACAACGGAATAAATAAATCTTTGGTTCGTTACATAAAGAAGGAGGAAAATAACAAAAGGACGACAGCAGCAATAAGTTTTAAGAAGGATGCAAAAAGTGTTGTAACTGTCCTGTCTCAGAAAAGTGTATAAAATGTGTGGTGAGGGGTTTTACAGACTTAAAACAGATATAATTATTGTAAAATATAAAGTTGACTACTTTGCGGATTTCACCTATCGCGGGTTATTTTTAGAACGTAACCCCTGCGATAAATGAGGGACCACTGTACTCTCTTTTAATATAGGAGCTATTAATATGATTACGTAACCAAAAACCTTCCAAAAACCTTCTAAAAACCCTTGTGTAGTCCTACCAAAGGGTGCACTCGCTCTGAGCTCCCTCTCTTCCATTGTCCCTGGCTCAGCAGTATCAGGATTAGTTTTGCGTCGCACAGGTTAGCCGAAGAACCCGTTTTAATGCTCTTATCTGTGCCTGTCAGAACGCGCTCGGGGCTTCAGTTCACCGCCAGCCCTGATGAAGATGGATACGCTGGCACGCGCGGATGCCAGGGCGCCGTGTACCTGCTAAAAAACGCCCAAGAACTGTGATCTGATGGAAGTAAAGCGGCGTCAGCACGTAGGCAACAGTTTGAGATGCAAGTTTTCAAAGGGACAAAGATTTATGAGAGAAGCTTTTGTGGTAAAGGTGCACTGCGCAACTTTTTCTGGCTGTTTTTCTCCATAAAGATGTTATTGTTTTGTCTTGAATGTTCCATAGTATGACTTTAAACATATACATCTAGCATTTATTCATTACGGGTGTTTTTATTGCTCAAAAATACAGTAATTCCTTCTATAAACAGGGCAACTCTCCACAGATCTGACCTGCTTGTTTCTCTGTTGATAGATGGTTTAATCAATACTGTGGAACATTCTAGACAAAGCAATAACATTTCCATGGAGACAAACAGGTGGCGGACCCCTCCACTAAAAATATTTTGCAGTGCAGCTTAAAAGTAGGGTTTGAATTGTTGAGTACTGGTTGATTTTGTGGGAAAAAAATACATAATTGTGATTTTTTTGGGGGACAAATTTTGCGATTGCGAGTAGATTTGCGGACGCTAAAATTTCAAACTTGATTTTGATAAGGAATTGACTCAATACATGATACCGGCTATGTTACTATGAGATCTTATACTAAATTACACTTCTATAATTTACATTGAAGCTACTCAGAAAAGGTTTGTTTCTGTCCTACTGATGTGATTTTGTTTTTCAATATTAATACCTGTTCAAATGAGAAGATGAGATGAAAACTAAATGAGAATCTAGTTCTGATATTATTTTTAGATATGATTTTTAGTATCGATTAGTGTCTGATTTTCATTACTTTTGACTTTTTATCCAGACTTTTAAAAAAAAGTAAGATTCTGTTAAGGAATATGCATTGCATGAAACCGTCAATATTTATAAAACTGACGATATGCCTGTCACGATTCAACATATCATGATATATCTCAATTACTAAAGCAAAGGACTATGTATTGTGATTTATCAATAATTACGTATAATATTTTGGTCAAGTACACCTTCACAAGAACAAAATTGAACGAAATACAGTTTATTAATTTTTTAAATCATGAGAACAGTAAATGTAACTCATGAAAAACCTGAACTTCAAAAAAAAAATTTCAGATGCATTTTGAATTGATATAGATATTTTTATAAAAAAGATAATTTTCTTCTTTTTTGGGGGGGACAACTTTTGCGTTTGCGAATATATTTGTGGATGCTAAAATTTCAAACTTGATTTTGATGAAGGAATTGATTCAATACTTGATACCTCCTGCTTTCTTTATGTTAAGTGAAGCACTGAATAGATTTTTTCTTACACCCCTAATTCTGTTCAGAGTGGAGAGTGTAAATAGCTCCAGGAGTGTTAACATTTGAGAGAAAACTGAAGTCGGAACTGATAAACTAACATAAGAATCCCCTATTTTCCAAACATGTTTGTGGAAGTCTAAACTAATGTTGTCACAATACTAAAATTTCAGGAAGGAAATTTCAGGAAAATTTGATACAGATACAGATTCCGATACAACCTGGATATTAAAAAAACACTCTTTATTTAGACAATAGAATGTGAAACTTTTAACAATCCAGGTCTAAACTACAAACTGATGCTCCTAAAAAAAGACAGATAGACAGATATAATGTGCAGCCTTAGTATTTGTGGAGGAAATTGTGAGTGACTTTTGTGTTTTGTTTCTATATATTTCCCAGGCTCCGGATGAAGCGGCGGCCGACTCCATTAACCTGAGTCAGAAGGTGTCGCTGGTGGCTCCTCAGGTCACTGTGGAGCCGGTGCCCGAGGAGGGCGAGGAGGGAGAGGAGGGGCGAGGTCGGCGAGGTCAGCGAGGTCAAGACTCTGCCGGAGTGGAGCGAGAAGGTGGCTCATGGCATCATCACGGGCAAGTCTCACACTCACAGACACAGAGACTTAAACTTAGACAAACTTCATTGATCCACAAGGAAAATTATTTGGACATGGTAGCTCACACATAGCAGATTATAATAACAAAGAGAAATGGTTTAATACATTTTAGATAAATAGCAGAAATAGCAAGAAACTGAGGTCAAATAAGACATAATTATATAAACGTCTATGTACATCCTGCTCAGCCTCCCCTCAGAGTCAAGGTGTGACCAGGAACAAGGCTCACTGTCCTAAACTTTACTGACACTATCTAGCAGAAAGGAAAGGGAAATAAATACATTTTAAGTAAATAAAATTAATAAATAGCAAAGGAACAAATGGGTAATGAAAGAAGATGAAGAGAAAGAGAAAGAACAGGGGAAAAAAGCAACTATCATTAATTACAAGAATAATTATTTTAACCTTTTTCTTCCTTTCCTCCTGCCCCTACCCTCTTATATTTCTTCTGGTTTATTACTTACTTGGGCTGGGTGTCATTAAGAAGTTTCCGATACGATACATACCTCGATACAGTGCACTTTCGATTTGATACATTATATTTCAAATCGATTTGATACAGTTCAATAAAAAATAATGTCTAAATCATGGCTCTGATACTAAAAGTCTTTGTTAAACCACTTTTTGTGCACACACCCATTTTAATGATCAAAAGAGAAATTGTCAAATGTGTTGCACAAACAAACAACAAAACTGTAGCGCAGTAACAAAATTATTTAGTCAAATATACCGAAAAATATTCTTTGTGATTTATTGATACAGCAGCCCATGATATCGATACTGTATCATCACATTAAACGATACGATATATCAATATTTTTATATTTTTGCGCACACCTATTTCTTACCTTCTCACACACACACACACACACACTTGCCCTCCCATTTAAGAAGAACAGAAGTAATTTTTATTATCTCGTCACCCCTTCAAACCTCGATGTATGCCCTGCTCCCCCTGTCCCCTCAAGTCAAAATGTCTTATGTCTTTTACTATTTGCACTGTCTCTAATATCACAATAAAAAAATAAAAAAAAGTCTTAATTTAAAAAAAACTAAAAAAAAAAGTCCTCGAAGGAAGAATTTTATCAAACATAAAATAAATAACTTGACTTAACAAATGAAAAAAGTATATAGTATATGTTAAAGTACAAATAAAATATAGAAATAATAGAAATACAGTAATAAAAATATATGTCAGAGTGCAGTTTTGTCAGGTGCAGCAACAGATTTTCCTCATCACATCCTTCATGGATCCTGATGAAAAAATATAAAACACTCTTAAATTTAGTGTTTAAATGACAAGTAAAAGAAAAAAGTGTTACTCTGACCAATATTTAAGCCAGTATTTGAATTATCTCGAATAGGATACAAACTAATTCTGTTTTTAAAGAAAAGTTAAAGTCTTTGAATACATAAAACTAGTCATTATTGAAATATGATACATTATTTTCTTGGTGCTACACACTGACTAGAGTAAACATTTTATATCCGTGGAAAAGTGTCTACAAAGTAATTTATTTAGCCCTTATTGTTGAGGCAATTTAAGGACAAAGTATTATGATGGTGTAGAGGTGCATTGTGTAGCTTTACGGTGGAGTAACAAAAGTGAGTAACTCTTCCACCTTTGGATGAAACGGTACAACATTTAAACACATCAAAACACTTGGCGTAACTGACTTAATTGTTGTAAATGCGTCAGTTTCATTTTATACCTATATTTGTGTATGTTGTGTATTGTTTGTGTACTATCTGCACCTGTATGTATAATGTATTGGAGCGATCATAAGAGCAGTAAGCAGTTAGTATCGATCGCGCGTTGCCGTTCCACTTTACCGTATAAAAGAAATTGATTTTAACACATAATCTCCTTTTGCGGTTTGAAAATCGGCTAATGCAGCTTTAACACAAGCTCTATACTTGGGCTGGTAAAAAAGCGATTGTAAATGTGAGGACAGGGAGATGTGCCTAGATCTTCTGTTTACAAAAAAAAAAGAAGAAGAATATTAAATTGTGTTATTTAAATCCTCCAATAGGGAACAATTGTGATGCCACTAGTGTGATTTTAAATGTTCAAACTCGATTTCGATACTCAGGAAACGACTTGATACTAAATACCAACACAATAAAATAATAAAAACAGTTTCTTTACACAGTAGAATGTGATTTTCAATATTACAGGGTTCCCACGGTCATGGAAAATCTGGAGAAGTCACGGAATTTTAGTATCTCTTTCACGCAGCTACAGCGTTTTGTTAAGTTATCATTAGGCTATTATGATTATTTCTGAACGTCTGTGCCTTTTGTTTAAAAGAGACAACAATAAATGCACTACAGTATTTTAAATGTTAAAAAACTATAATCCCAAACCATAAGGTGAGTGGAAAGGATTAACATTTCATATTTATCCCTAAAAGTCTGATCAATTCTACACATGTAGGTGCCGTAAAGTCATTTTAGGTCATGAAAAAGTCATGGAAAAGTTTTGGAAATTTTGTCAGTGAAAAAGAGTGGGAACCCTGACATTAAATAATAGTATTTTTTTTAAAATATATATTACCATGTAGCGTTACCATGTAAGTTTTTGTTAAACCACGTCTTGTGCAAAGTTCATATGAAACACAAACATTTTAATCGTCAAAACAGTGAAAATGTCAAATGTGTTGAATAAACAAATTTCCTTCCTCTAAACAAGCAGCGCTGTAACAAAATAATGTAGTAAAATATACCAAAAAATACTCTTGCCGATATATTGATACAGCAGCCCATGATATCGATACTGTATCATCACATTAAACGATACGATATATCTATATTTCATTATTTTTGCACACCTCTAGTGCTCTTCTACCTCACTTCTACCTGCTCAAATTAATATCTAGTTTTGATTTTAAAAATTAAGTATTGATTAGTATCGATTGATCTTATTTTCAATACTTTTGACACTGTACATACATATATACAACTGCAGTTATTCCAGCTATATTTGATCCAATTTCACCTCTGCTGTAGAACTCAAAACAACTCAACAATATTTACTCCTAAAGTACAAGCTCAAACACAGGTCATTGTTGTGTTTGCTCCAGTCCTGTATACAGTTTGTCTCTTTGGGAAAAAAAACTTGCATAAAAGTGATATTATTTTATTGATAAGTTCTTGTTTTCCCTCAGGTGCTTCGTGGTTGAGCTGGGGCCTGGTGAAAGGAGCAGAGTTCACGGGTAAAGCCATCCACAAGGGGGCGTCGAAGCTGAGGGAGCACATGACTCCAGAGGACAAACCCGCCACCGTGAGCCCCACTGTCACCAAGGGCCTGCAGGTGGCCAAGCAGGCTACAGGGGGCGCCGTCAAAGTCAGCCAGTTCCTAGGTAACTGCCTCTCTCCTTGTCACATGAACTACCAGGTTTAGACATGGGGCAGTAGTCAAATTTGATCAAATAATTATTTTATTATTATCACATTAACTATTACACAGCGATGGAAAGAGTACTGGACATTTGTATTGAAGTAAAAGTACAGTTACATGGCTAAAAATATACTTCTTACTACTACTTAAAGGTGCATTGTGTAACTTTACTGGTAGAGGGTTCACCACCTGCTATGTAATAAGCTTATTTATCTCCATGGAGACAATATCAGGCCTAGTTTCAAGTCAGATCTGTGAAGAGGTGACCCCGGTAACAGTAGGAATGCACGTTTCTATGGTATTTTTATCAATTAAAGACCCATAGCGAAATTGAATGCTGGATAGATGTTTAATGCTTTACTGTGTAACATTTCCGGGAAAGCAATAACATCTCCATGGAGACAAGTAAATGACATCTTTAAGTTAAAGTACGCATGAAAAACTCAGGGTACTTTCTAGTTGCTTTTTAATGCAATTTTAGAAGAATTTTAGATCATGCTTTTATACAAAACTTGATCAATCAAAAAGTATCACTTATAATTAACTTGGACAAGCCATGGACCACGCAGTTAACTTGTAACTTGTCACTTCCATCGCTGCTACGACAATTATTAAATTAAATAATAAAATAAATATAATGGAAATGCCTATAAATATTATGCATCTGTATTAAAGGTCCATTATGTCATTTTCTGGATGTGAACTTCATGATACCAGGCAACTTTGGAATATTCACCATGGAGATGTAAATACTTTAAGCCAGACATGTCAGACTCAGGCCTGGGGGCCAAATTTTGCCTGTGATATAATTATATTTGGCCCATGAGATCATATTAAATATGTTTTAGAGCTGCCCACTGACTACAGATAAACTATAGAGACATTATTTATTTAAAATGTTGTTATTCTTTTCTATTCTGCTTGTTCTGGATTCAATGTTTAAGCAAAACTATTATTAAACATTTATTTTAATAAGAAAAGGTTTAACATTACATATCTCAAAAGAAGAGAAAACATGCAGATGTTGTTGAAATTTTTCAATAAATATTTAGTCCACGACCTAGTCCCAGTTTTTAATTTTGGCCTCTGTGAAGTTGAGTTTGACACCCCTGATTTAAGCCATACTGTGGAAGATTATAAGTTTAGTGCAATTAATATGACCAGATGAAAATGCTTGTATTTTAGTCTATTTTTTGGCTAAAAAGTTACATAATGTGGCTTTTAAAAGACCTCAGTATTTGTGTAATATAATAACAACTATTATAGAATTCTACTTTGTTATAAGTGAAAACAACAGTGACATAAAAAAGTTAAGCAGCTTTTTTCTGCACAGTTTGGAGGTTTAATGGTGATTTTCTTCATATCTCTGTATTATTATTTATTGTTCACTCATAACCATTTTTTTGAGCATGTACTTAAATTTTATTATGTGTGGCTGCAGTGGATGGAGTGTGTGCCGTCACTGGGTACGTGGGACGAGAGCTGGCTCCACATGTGAAGAAACACGGAGAAAAACTCATCCCAGAGTCCATGAAGAAAGACAAAGACGGACGCTCCAACCTCGACGGAGCGATGGTGGTGGCAGCCAGTGGAGTCCAGGGTAAACTACTACTTTTTGATTTATATCTGGCCCTGCGTTTTATTTTATTTGCCGGGTAAAGCTAACAACACTTCATGATTATCAGACAATACAAAACTTTATAATTGGGTACCGACTGTGGACTTATTTTGACATCTGCTTATGTACAGGGACCAATTTAGCTCAACACATGGGGGAATAAATTGGGTACAGGCACTTTAAGCCTTGTTTTAGACTTGCTGGTGTATTACTGCTGGTATAAATTTATGCCATTTGCCGCTATATTGGTCCTAGTTGCTCCAAATATCAATATTAAACCAGTTTTTAGGAAAATTTAAAGGGATAGTTTAGAATTTTGGACATAGGACCTCATTTCCTAGTGAGCCAGAGTGTTGGAGACGTGTGGAGACACTTTTTTAAATATTCCATCCAGTCCTTGTATTTGCAGAGGTCACTGGTGCTAGACTAGTGCATGTCAATGACCGTAGTTATCCTGCCACTAAAAACAGTCTTACCCACTCCACAAAACACCCGAAACAAATCTATTATTACACCAGACTGTCCATGTAAATGTCTGTGCTGATATAATAATTTTAGAAGTAAAACCAAACCTTGCATTTGAAGGATTTATGTCTGAGCAGCAGCAGTGAGTTGTACTTCCTGATAGAAAGTTTGGCAGCGGCGGACTGATATATGAGAAAATAGTCCCTCAACATGCGACGATTCATGTGATGCAAGGTTAATTTTGTTTCAAACATTATTCTATCAACACAAACATTTACACATCAACAGTCTGGTGTAATAATAGATTTGCTTCGGGTGTTTTGTGGAGTGGGTAAGACTGTTTTTAGTGGCAGGATAAATATGGTCATTGACATGCACTAACCTAGCACCAGCGACCTCTGCAAATACAAGGACTGGTTGGAATATTTAAAAAAGTGTCTCCACACGTCTCCAACACTCTGGCTCACGAGTAAATGAGGTCCTATGTCCAAAATTCCGGACTGTCCCATTAATTTCAACAACCCCCTCTTCCTGTTAAAGGTGCACTATGTAACTTTTTGGTTGAGGGTCCATCACCTGCTTGTTTCTGTGGATATGTCATTGCTCTGCCTGGAATGTTCCACAGTATGACAATAAACAGCTCTACTTTACATTTATTCAATTACAGGTGTTTGTATAGCTCAAAAATGAATTCAAAATCAGGTTTCTGACTGTGAGCGGGGTCGCCTCTCCACAGATCTGACCTGTAACTTGGTCTGGTTGGGTCTCCGTGAAGATAGAAAGGCTTAATGCGAACAAAAACATCTCCATGAAGACAAGCATATGAAAAGTTACACAATCCACCTTTGAAAGCCTGTGAAAATCCATATAAAAACAGCTTGATAGAACTAATATGGTGACATTTGCACAAAAAAAAAGATTGGTGAACCCACACATGATGGTTTATATTTGAAAATTGTATTATTATCTTTGAGTTTATCATAGCTTAAGCTGGTCCTATATGTGTTTTCTGTGTAGGTTTTGCTACTATGTGGACCGGGCTGGAAGTAGCGGCTAAGAACATCGCCTCAAGTGTCGCCACTGAAACGGTCTCGACGGTGAAGCACAAGTAAGTTCGGTTGTATTTCCGCTACGGCCTTTTCTGTCACGGCCACTCATCACTACGGTCGCTTTTGTTGTGCTTTTTTTTTTAAATATCCTGCACCACAAAACCGCCGTGGAAGTCTGTGTCACACTTTTGTACTTGATTAACCTTTTCTCTTTGACTTACTTTCCAGATATAGAGGCCTTCGAGCTGTCTTGTCCGACTCACCCAATGAAAACACATGTACTTATCCCCCTAATGCTTTATAATGAATGCTTGGCACAGCTGCTCACAGACAGACAGAGCATGTCGTTCTACTGAAATGTCTGAATGCACTCATCGTTCATTTAATCAGAAAACTCTGCACTTCTCCTTAAACGTGGTGATTAGAGTGAAGCTGATTTTTACTCTCTTAAAGGTGCACTGTGTAACTTTTTCATCGGGGGTCCGTCACCTGCTTGTTTCTATGGACATGTCATTGCTTTGCCTGGAAAGATAAGCAGCTCTACTTTACATTTATTCAATTACAGGTGGTTTTATAGCTCAAAAATATCTAGAAAAACAGGCTGAGTGTGAACTGTATTTATGTATTTATTTTGGGCAAGTAAAGATTTACATTCTTCTACAATGAAACATCTAACATAAGAGAAATCATAATAGAAATGAAAGTAACTGCAACAAAAAATTTGCCCAAAAATGAGTGGGAAGAAGAAAACGTATTTAATCCCACCCTCACTCTCCACAGATCTGACCTGTAACTTGGTCTTGGTTTAGTCTCTGTGACGATAGAAAGGTTTAATATCGTACTGTGAAACGTTCCAGACAAAGCAATTACATCTCCATGAAGAAAAAGAAACAAAAAAGTTACACAGTGCACCTTCAAAAACAGAGCTACTTCAAGTAAATGTACAGCGCTGCAGAGGCTGCACTAGCACTGGTTCATGATTGGTTGTGGGTTGTGGGTTTTTGGTAGTGACTGTTCAGATCAGAGAGAGGTATTTTAGGTTTAAACCAACTGGATTTCACCAAAACAACCCAAACTAGAAAAGCACTCAGAGAGCGCAGACCTCCGCCAAGGACTACCCCCATTTTTTATATAAATTGCGATAAAATCAGTCTTCTGGATCAGATCCGGATCAGCCTTTGGAATATGAAAGAGGATCCCATTGTCCATCCCTGAGTCAAATTTCATGGGGTTTGGTCAATAATTAACCGAGATATTGAGAAACCAAAGTTTTAGCCCCATTTACCACAATGTTAACTAGAAGTGATCCAGAATCCAGGATTTCTTCCGGATCACCCCCAAAATGAAATCAGTTCTTCCTTTTCACATTTCCAACAAATCCTGAAAATTTTATCAAAATCGGTCCATAACTTTTTGAGTTATGTTGCTAAAAGACAAACAAACAAACAAACAGACAAACGCCGGCAAAAACATAACCTCCTTGGCGGAGGTAATAAAAGACTAATTTGAGACTCAGGCTGTTTTCTGATTGGATAATTGTCTAAACATAAATAAATAAGACATCGTACCCAGAGTTTTTGTAATTAAGAATAAATCAGCATTACAGTTGTTTATAAGTAAAAGCTATGTTTCATTCACATCGATGCATGAAACATAATTATTTTGTATTTCATGAATGAAACAAATAAAAAAAGAAAAGAATGAAATGAAATGTTTGATTTGAACATCCAAATCTAAATCTTACATACAATTCCTTTTTAGAGTTTAAAAGCACAACGAAGGCGAGCTCTTGTGGTAACTAATGTTCATAATATGGTTGTTTTCAGTGTAAAAACACATTTAAACTTCAAATTTGCTGAAAGGTTTTAATAATTTAGCACTTTTTCAAAGTTTCAGAAACTGATTTTAAAGCTGCTTTGTGTAACTTTTCTGGTGGAGGGTCCGTCAAAGGCTTTTCTCCATGGAGATGTTATTGCTTTGTCTGGAATGTTCCACAGTATGGCATTAAACCTTTCTATCGTCATGGAGACCAAACCAGACTAAGTTACAGGTCAGGCATTCTGACTGTGAACGGGTCGCCTCTTCACAGATCTGTTTTTCTAGGTATTTTTGAGCTATAAAACCACCTGTAATTGAATAAATGTAAAGTAGAGCTGTTTAATGTCACACTGTGGAACATTCCAGGCAGAGTAGTGACATACCCATAGAAACAAGAAGGTGACGGACCTCCAACCAAAAAGTTAGCCTTTGCCGTTTTGCTCAAAGCCCATTGGCACAAAAATCTGGGTTGTTAGTTTGCTAATGATATTTTCAATTCAAACAGACATTACTTCAGGTTAAAGGTGCATTGTGTAACTTTTCTGGTGTAGTGTCCATTAAATGCTTTTCTCTAAGGAGATACTATTATTATTGCTTTATCTGGAATGTTTCACAGTGTGGTATTAAACCTTTCTATCTTCATTGAAACCAAACCAGACTAAGTTACAGGTCAGATCTGTGGCGAGGCAATCCCGCTCACAATCAGAATGCCTGTTTTTTAGGTAGTTTTGAGCTATAAAACCACCTGTAATTGAATAAATCTAAGGTAGAGCTGTTTAATGTCACACTGTGGAACATTTCAGGCAGGTGACGGACTCCCGAACAAAAAGTTACATAGCGCACCTTTTAATTCTTCACTTTGCATGTTTTACACCCTTCATAATGAACTTCACAATCGCATGGCATCTTGGGAAACGCACTTTTGCCCTCCAAAATTAACCCAATCTTTAAATCCCTCTCCCTTTTCTTTCTTTCTCCCCTGTTTTCCCTGTGATCTAACTGACCCCGAATCAAGGTACGGAGCGGCGGCCGGACAAGCCACGGACCACGCCGTCAACTCCGCCATCAACGTGGGGCTCACCGCTTTCAACATCGACAACCTGGGCATCAAAGCTGTGGTGAAGAAGACGGGCAAAGAAACCGCCAAAGCCATCCTGAAGGACTACGAAGTACACGAAACCCCGGACAACGGCCAAGGAGACAAGCAGGTGGAAAAATCAGAGAAATAGTCAGTCAAATAGAGTCTACAAAGCTCCACAATGCCTTAAGATAGGTTGTGTTCACGCCACCAATAAAAGTAAAGAAATAAAGATATAAAAAAATAAATGAAAATAAAGTTCAATGAGATCTTTGTTAGTCTAATTGAACTAAGATCAAATATTGCTTTTGCTTTAGTCTCAAAAGATCGTGTTAAAACAGTGAAGCTCCTATATGTAACTTCTCGGCTGGGGGTCCGTCACCTTCTTGTTTCTATGGATACGTCATTGCTCTGCCTGGAATGTTCCACAGTATGACATTAAACAGCTCTACTTTACATTTATTCAATTACGGGTGGTTTTATAGCTCAAAAATACTTAGAAAAACAGGCGTTCTGCTTGTGAGCGGGGTCGCCTCTCCACAGATCTGACCTGTAACTTGGCCTGGTTCGTTCTCCAAAAGCATCTGACGGACCCTCTACCAGAAAAGTTACACAATGCACCTTTAAATTAAGAACATTTCAGATATATCCATGAACGCAGCCTAGTAATTTGAAGTTTCTATATTTATTGTACTAGGTCTATATAATATTTATATTAGAGCCCGACCGATATATCGGTTGGCCGATATTATCATCTGATATGGGCAACTTTAGGCATATCGGCTATCGACCGATATGCTTGCTGATAGGGGCCGATATTTCACGTGGGCATGTTATACCTCGTTATAAATCTTAGACTCTCTACATTCTGTTCATTTAATCCAATTTACAGACAGATAAATGTCCTAATATGTGGCTCCACATCAGTATTTATCTACGAAGTCATTTGTCTGTGTGTGTCCGTACTGTCCCTGAACACACCACAGAGTCGCGTCACTCACGTGTGTTTGTTTACACCTGCAGACACAGATCCAAACACTGAGATTCTTTTTACGGACAATCGGTTTGAGTCTGGATTAAAAGGACATTTATTAGTGCAGATTTGTGATGTGAGGAGGAGCCTGTATGAGCGGTGAGTGTTGGAAATATGTCGACTCTGAAGCTAGTTTTTGTCATTTGTTATGGGTTAGCTGCTGTAGCTCCCGCACATAAACAGACTGTTTTCTATTGGTCTGTTCTAAAGTGACTATATTGGCCGTATATTTGCTCCTGGACCTGCACTGATATGTAAATGAGCTGTGAACAGACGTGTGAATTATGACATTTGCGCATATAATTAATTACCGCGGCGCGCACGTATTTACGGCTAAAGGCTAATAGCGCTACTTTCTTTACTAGTTATGGGTCCGTCGCGAACGAAATGACTCTTAGAACCGGCTCTTTGAAGGGAACGACGGGAGCCTGATCCTTATTGGGAGCCGTGTTTTCTCTTTCTCTCACTTTTTTTCTCTTCACGCCGCGTGATTCGTGGTTTGACAGCGGCAGCGGCTCAAAACGAAACTTTGAGAAATTTGCGTGTACGTAGGATTAAAAAAAATAAAAATAAAAAAACGAGCATATTTGACTGTAGTTTAGCATAAAATAAGTCCTGGTTTAGTCCTTTTTCAGTCCTGGTTTAGACCTGGTTCAGTCCTGATTCAGTCCTGCTTTAGACGTGCTTTAGTCCTGCTTGCAACAAAACAATCTGAAGAGCCACTTGGGAGCCAAAAGAACCAGCAGCTTTTAGTGAGCCGAGCCAAAAGAGCCGGTTCTCTAAAAAGAACTGGAATACCCATCACTAGTGTCTAGAATGTGATGCAAAAATGCCATTAAGCCAACCTACTGTCTGTAAATATGATGTAAAGAGGCAGAATAACAATAAATGTTGCCTAAATAAACTCAATTTAAAATCCACCAGAGCCAAACCTAAGTTTTTTAAACAATTCAACATTTACAGTGAATTTTTACATCACTAACTATATCGGCGTTATATCGGCTATCAGCAGCGCCAACTCCCATTATATCGGTTTCATATCGGCCACAGCAAAATCCATATCGGTCGGGCTCTAATTTATATACTAACTGATATTTTCTGACCAAGATGTTTATATTTCTAGAGATTTGATTCTAGAGGCACTTTAATCCTAAAAGAAGGTAAAATGAGAACCAATAAAGAAGTATGAACTCTGGGTTTGCCATGTGGTTTAAAGTGCGTATGACAGATTTCCATGTTTTTCTAATTATCACTTTAATTACCGTATTTTCCGCACTATAAGGGGCACTGTCATTGAATGGTCTATTTTCCATTTTTTTTCACATATAAACTGGACTATAAGGCGCATTAAACAAAACGCAACAGTCAGATAAGTCAGTCAAACTTTATTTAACACGTTCACAATAATTCTCAACTTTGTTCAACTGTAACGTGTAAAAAAAATACTGTCTGAGGCACTAAATTGTTCGTATATTCACAATAACTCATAATTGTTCAAACAGTTGGGCGATTACAGCGTCCAGCATGGCCGCATCCCTCTCGACATTATCCGAGTCAGTGTGGTTACTGTTCCCTGGCAGTTCAGTGATGATTCTGGTCTTGGTGAAAGCTCGGACCACAGTTGATACTGATCCTTAGTCCAGGCGTCCACGACCCGTTGACAGATCGTGGCGTAAGTCGCTCGGCGCTCATCCACTGCTCCCACGCAGCTCGCACTTTCACTTTATAACAGCCTTGAGTTTAAAGTCAGCGTTGTGAGCGTGTCTCTTGACAGGTGCATTTTGATATTAAAAGGAATCACAGTATGTATTACTCCACGATGCTCCTGACTACGGGAGCCGAAATGCTGCAAGTGGTGCGGCTTTGTAGTTTACTAAAGTCGTACTAAGACACCCCAATAAATTCATATATAAGGCGCACAGTCCTTTTTTGATTAAATGAAAGGCTTTTAAGTGCGCCCTATAGTGCGGAAAATACGGTACATAGATACAAGACCACAGGGTAGTATAAAAGACAGTACTATGATTTAATGTCTTTAATATCTGTTCCTTCATACTGAGTTGGAAATTGTACTGTGCTGATAACGGTTGATTAAAAGAAGTCTAACCTGTCATATGCATTTTTAATCTTTCAGGTTAATAGATGTTTTAATAACTACTGAGTATGGACCTAATTAGCTCGGGTATCTTTTCTATCGTTCCTGTAGGACACTATAGACCTACTGTAATGCCTTCAATCCAAATCTGTATTTTTTTCTTTGTTTGTAATGTAAAATTTAACTGCATTCTGTGCCTTATCCTGACTAATGACATCAAGTGAAGTTAAAATTTCTCACTGCCCTGTGAATTCTTATTAAAAAAAACTAAAAACATATATATGATTTGTTTAGTTTTCAAAGTAGTGAGTTAATATAATATTGTCTACTGACTCAATTTATGTTTAGTGTTTAAAAGAGACTATTTTACGCTATTTTCTGATCAATTTTGTGATGTTTCGTCATCAGAAACAGACCTGGAGTTGTGTTTTGTTTCATTCACATGTTTAACACACAAATGCTGCGTATTTTAACCTGAGTTCTTCTCTCAAGCAGAAAAAGTCTGTTCCAACTTGTGATGTCATGTGGTAATTCAAGGAAGTAGCGCCATTGTGTTTTTAAACTCCAGACACCTTCACTTGAATCATTTGGATTATTTCAGCGCTGGAGTTGATGATCCCTACTGAACTAAAGTTAAAAGGTTAAAAACTGCAACTTCATGACATCACAAGGTGGAACAGAGCATTTTGAGCTTTGGAGATGTAGACAGACTGATAATGCAGGATTATTCAAAGTGTAAATGAAACAAAACACAACTCCAGGTTTGTTTTTGAGAAGGTAACACCATTCTAGCTCACAAGAGTTAATTTTGCGTCATATAGGACCTTTAAGTCTGCTCCAACTGTTATAGTATGACTTTGTTTATGTTTTGTGTATTATTTAACTTGTTATTACACTCATAAGTTGAATGTAAAAAAGTTATAGACCTGTGTAAAGCTTTAACAATGCCTCAGTCTACAAATAAAATATTTTTCAAAGTGACACCATGTTCTTATATACATACACATGCACTTATTCGCAAGTTATTTATCTATTTACATTTTTAAGATAAGAGTAATAAGAATTTAAATATTTGGTAAAATGAAAAGTTAACAGGCATTTTCTGACATAGATTTAACCAAATAAGGGTGTTTTTATCTATTTTTACTCATCTGATCACAAATATTATGTTATTTAGAAACTTTTTGGTTCATTTTTAACTACATTTTAGTGAAAAAATTGATCCGTCATATGAACTTTAATGGAATAAAACGTTATAGACCTGTGTAAAGCTTTAGTAATCCCTCAGTCTACAAATAAAATGTTTTTTTTTTAAGTGACAGCATGTTCTTATACATACACTGATTGGCAAGTTATTTTTAAAATAAGAATAAGAATTTAAAGATTTGGTAGAACAAAAAGTTAACAGAGGGCATTTTCTGACATCGATTTAACCAAATAAAGGTCATGTCATTTATTTTTATTCGTCTAATTGCAAATATTATGTAATTTAGACACATTTTGGTTCATTTTTAACTACATTTTAGTGGAAAAAAATAATCTGTGATATGAACTTTAATGGAATAAAACATTATAAACCTGTGTAAAGCTTTAACAATGCCTCACTCTACAAATAAAATATTTTTTAAAGTCACGATACGATAAATATCTCAATACACTGCACTTTCGCTTCTATACAATACATTTCAAATCGATTTTAATTTGGTTCAGCAAAAAATAAAGACTAAATGGCTGTGATACTAAAAGTCTTTGTTAAACCACAAGTGAAAATGAAACACAGCCATTTTAATCATCAAAACAGTAAAAATGTCAAATGTGCTGCATAAACGAGTTTCCTTTCTTTAAGCAAGCAACAAAACTGTAGCTGTAACAAAATAATTTTGTAAAATATACCAAAAAATTACTCTTGGTGATATATCGATACAGCAGCTCATGATATTCATACTGTATCATCACATTAAACGATAGGATATATCGATATTTCAATATTTTTGCACAACCCTAATTCTTATACATACACATTTACATACACTGATTCGCAAGCTAGTTATTTATTTGCACTTTTTATATAAGAATAATGAGAATTTAAAGATTTGGTAAAATGAAAAGTTAACAGAGGGCATGTGATGTGCTTTAGCAATGCCTTTATTTATTTTATTTAGATTTTAAGATAAGAATAATGAAAATTTATAGATTTGGTAGAACAAAAAGTTATCAGAGTGCATTTTCTGACACTGATTTAACCAAATTAAGGTGTTCTCATGTATTTTTATTCATCTAATCACAAATATTATGTAGTTTAGACACATTTTGGTTCATTTTTAACTACATTTTAGTGAAAAATATAATCTGTGATATGCACTTTAATGCTGAAAGAAAAAATACAGTGGAGAAAGTCCTAAAAAACACAAGCAACCATTGGTCTAATAATTGTCTTTTTACGCACACCTGAACCACGAGCGCGCGCACTCCCTTGGACCGGTGTCGCACGTGCACGCGCCGCGCTGCTGACAGGCTCGTGCCCGCGCGGTCCGTCAACCCGCCGTAAATCACCGCAGTGTGCTGAAAAACGAGGAGGGGAGGGACGGAGGGCGCGCACGGGAGGAGAACATCCCCAACCCCTCTGCCCAGTCTCCTCCACCACCAGAGCCCGCCGCCCTGCCTCCAGTCACCGCGGCAGCTCCACCTCAGCCCGGCCAACAAAGAAGGGACCTGGGACCTCCCCCACTCCACCCCACCGTCCCGCCTGCCTCTGCTGCATGCTTCCGTCCGGCCATCCGCAAATAAATGATTCATAGGGAGCGCTCCAGCCGCATCTCCCCGCGCCAGGCACACGTGTGAGGTAAGGAGGACTTGCCGCAGGACGCTAATTGCGCTTTGTTCCTCGCCCCTTTCTGCGCTGTCACACTTTGAGGTCACAGGGTTCGCATTTCTGGCGTTTTACCGGCTTTATTTTACGATTTACAACGATTTGAAACGCTAAAAATCCACACAGCATGCGGGGAAATGGGTGTGCCGTGCTACTTTCACGCGTTCTCTGTTACACATGATAGTAGACATCTTGTGCACACCTTGATTTAATAACAAATCTTCGGCTTTGGGAATAAAAATGGACTCCTGTAACGCTGTCCTAGCCGTAGTACTACTCACCCTCTGCACTAGATTATCTCATTATCTGATTTTGTGCAGTCAAAAGTATCGAAAATCACTTGTCAATGCTAAAACTAGTGCAAAAACTACTCATTTGTGCAGGTATCGGTGCTAAAAAGTCACATTCAGAGGACAAAAATGAAGCTTTCCTGATTTAGAATGAACTTGAGCAGGATCAGAACAAGTATAAGAGCAGTGTACACTCTGTAACCCACCTGGACACACAGGGATTACACAGATAAAAGGAGAACACGGATAATTAGAGGTGTGCAAAAATATCAAAATATCGATATATAGTGTCGTTTAATGTGATGATTCAGTATCGATATCATGGCCTGCTGTATCGATATATCGCCAAGAGGATTTTTGGTATATTTTACTAAACAATTTTGTTACAGAGCCACAGTTTTTTTGCTTGTTTAGTGGAAGGAAACTCGTTTAAACGACATATTTGACATTTTCACTGTTTGATGATTAAAATGTTTGTGTTCCATATTCATTTTGCACAAGAAGTGGTTTAACAAAAATGTTTAGTATCACAGCCATGATTTAACCTTTTTTTACTGAACCATATCGAATTGATTTGATATATATATCATATTGAATCGCATCGAATTGTAAGATCACTGAATCGAGATATTTATCGTATCGGCAACTTCTTAATGATACCAGCCTTAGAGATAATATAAAAGAAAGTACTATTATTTAATGTTGACAGTGTTGAATTCTATTGTCTAAATAAGCCTTTTTTTTTTTTTTTTTTTTTGCAATCAATATTGAGTATTGAGTTTGAAATTTGAGTATTGTGACAATACTAACCAGATTAATTCTACAAATTGTTTTGATTGATTGATTGAATTTATATAGCGCCTTTCAAGATACCCCAAAGTGCTTTACAGTTCATTTTTCAGTCACTCCACACTCAGTGGTGGTAAACTACTACTGTAGCCACAGCTGCCCTGGGGCAGACTGACAGAAGCGAGGCTGCCAATCTGTGCCATCGGCCCCTCCGACCACCACCATCACTCATGCACACACCACTATCATACTAGGCAATGTGGGTGAAGTGTCTTGCCTAAGGACACAATGATAGTTTTTTGCCACTGGTGCCTCACTGTGGCACCTGGACTTCCTGGCGGTCTCTCATCCAAGTACTGCCCAGGCCCAGCCTGCTGAGCTTCTGAGATCTGACGGGATCAGACTATTTGACAAGCCGGTATGGACTTTGTGTAGTCCAGAATAGTACTGAATAGTCATGACAGTAGTTCAGAGTTTAACCTGACAAAAATACAGTTGTCATTAAGGGTGTTCAAAAATATCAAAAATATCAATATCGTATTGTTTAATGTGATGACATAGTATCAATATCATGAGCTGCTGTATCGATACATTACCAAGAGTATTTTTTGGTGTATTTTACTAAATTATTTTGTAACAGAGCTACAGTTTTGTTGCTTATTTAGAGGAAGGAAACTTGTTTATGCGACACATTTGACATTTTCACTGTTTTAACAATTAAAATGTTTGTGTTTCATATTAACTTTGTGGTTTAACAAAGACTTTTAGTACTTTTAGTTCACAGCCATGATTTAACCTTTTTTTTTTTTTTTTACTGAACCGTATTGAATCGATTTGAAATATATATCGTATTGAATCATATCGAATCGTAAGCTCACTGTATTGAGATATGTATCGTATCAGCAACTTCTCAATGATACCAGCCTTACAGATAATATAAGAAAGTACTATTATTTAATGTTGAAAATCACATTCTGTTGTCTAAATAAGTATGTTTTTTATTATCATCGTGGTACTGGAATCAGTATTGATATCATGACAACACTAACCAGATTAATTCTACAAAATCAGAATTGTTTTGGACTTTGTGTTTAGTCCAGAATAGTACTGAATAGTCGTGAGAGTAGTTCAAAGTTTAACCTGACATAAATACTGTTGTACTGAAAGGATGAGATGAAATAATCAATGGGCCTTTAACATCGTTTGGACTGGTCAATAGCCGTTCTTTCATTATGCAATCGTTGGCTGTTTCTGTCACTCAAATGGTGCTCAGATATTTTTATTTGCCTGTACGCAGAGGTAGTCACTGTACTGCGTTCCATTACAGATTCTCCCAAATACTACTATGATACAAGTACGTCAAATTCAGGGTATCAGATATCAGCACTAATACTGACAATTTTGGTGTTTCCAGGACATTGGCTGACATTTCGGTCTATAAACTGGTGTAATAAGATGATTTACTGATCAGTGTTGGCCCAAAGACCAAAGTTACTTAAAATGATTCAACAGTTACAAATTGAAATGTATTATACTTTTAGTCTCTGCCAGAGGTGGGGACTTGCAAGTCATTACTTGGACTCGAGTCAGAGTTGAGTCACTAATTTTAAGACTTGAGACTTGACTTGATAAAATGGACTAAGACATGGGACTTGACTTGGACTTGAGGCCTGTGACTTGAGAAGCACTTTTAAATCTGAATTCTTTCTATTCTGACTGTAATGACTCACAGTAAGATCTTGTCAAGACATTTAAAAAAGAAAAACATTTCTGCAACAACTCTTGTATACTCTATAAATATTCATATATAAATATACTATGATTTTTTTAAGAACAATTTAGTTTAAAATCCATATAAATTGTAAAAACCAAAGCTATGGTTTAAAGACTTGAAATGACTTGAAGCTCAAAGCAGACGACTTGGACTTGGACTTATGGGCCAGTGACTCGAGACTTGACTTGGACTTGAGGTCAGAGACTTGAGACTTGCTAGTTACAGATCATTTCTGTATGTTCATGTACGTAGCCAATACAAACTTATAATACTTTGAATGAAGTAATAAGTTTTATTAATGGAGCCTCCAGATTCCATGTTTTTGACACAGGACCCAAACACTTAAAGATATATAGAAAATTCCCTTTAAACTTTTAAAATGAAAAGAGATTAAACCATGGCTGACATGAGAAAGGTATTCCACTATAGTATCCCCCATTTAGGAATTGGACAATAAACAATAATATTGTTTAGTGTGATAAAAAATGTAGACAGTAATCATTTGTGGGACATTTTATTTAATCGTGATAATGGCCAACAAAGATAATCACCGTTTTATCACCAGAATGTGCTGAGAAAAGCTCTTGATGCTTGATGTTTTCTTCTAGATCGTTGTTGTTTTCACTCATAACAAAGTACAATTCTATAACAGTTTAAATGTGTAACTTATTCATAATATTAAAAGTATAATTAATCTTATCCATCTCATTTTTAAGCCATCAGCCACTTTAATATTTGTCATGATATAATTGTTAATCAGTTATTTTAACGATGATAATTGTGACAGTAAGTTTGATTATTGTACCTTGCCTAACCCCGTCCTCTGTCCTGTCCTCAGCGAGAGCAGACATGGAGCTGGAGCACTTTGACGAGAGGGACAAAGCTCTGAGGAGCACCCGCCGAGGCTCCAGAGGGACGGGCCTCCCCAGCCCCACACACAGCGCCCACTGCAGCCTGTACCGCACACGCACGCTGCAGGCGCTCAGCTCCGAGAAGAAGGCCAAGAAGATCCGCTTCTACCGCAATGGGGACCGCTACTTTAAGGGCATCGTGTACGCCATCTCCCAGGAGAGGTTCAGATCTGTGGAGGCTCTGCTGGCCGACCTCACCCGCTGTTTGTCTGACAACGTGCACCTGCCTCAGGGAGTCAGGACCATCTACTCCATCGACGGGAGCACCAGGATCACCAGCATGGAGCAGTTTGTGGAGGGTGAGACTAGAACAAGTGAAAATCCTGCTTCTACAACACTTAAAATTAACATCTTTGGCTTTGACCATCTGATTTGAAAACTGTGCGGGCTCTTAATGTTCCCTCTTTGTTTTCTTATGTACTTTAACTTCTTTGTTCTTTTTAAAGACAAGTAAAGTGTATTTATCTTGTTGAAATGTTTCGACTGCTACTGCAAGTCGTCTTCAGAACTGTCCCCGGTGTTGGTCGTGACGTGTCGTATATCAGCTGTTGTTACTTCCTGTGGGCGTGGTCAGCCTGATGGACCTGCAGGTCACTCAGACTGACCACGCCTCCCCTCGTCCGGTGTTCTCTGGATGAGGGTGTCCCAGGTGTGTGAAAGGAGGAACTCTCTGTCATCGCTGTTAATGCTCTCTGATCTTTCCATCCGGGAGACTCACCAGAACACAAAAAGATAAAGCAGACCAGGAAAACCTAAAATCCACCATATCAGACACTGTAAAAGAAATAACCACATTCTGGATTGGGACGAGGCTCGGGTCATTGGATCGGAAAACAACAAGTTCAAACGCTGGATCAGGGAGAACAGTGAAATCAGGAAACGAGGCACGGAAAACATTAACCGTGATGACGGCGCATTCCTCCTTTCACACACCTGGGACACCCTGCTCAAGTGAACACCGGGCAACAGGAGGCGTGGTCAGTCTGAACAACCTGCAGGTCCATCAGACTGACCACGCCTACAGGAAGTAACAACAGCTGATATACGACACGTCACCACCAACACCGGGGACAGTTCTGAAGATGACTCACAGCAGCAGCCGAAACATTTCAACAAGGTAAATACTTTACTGTATAGTCTTTAAAAAAGAAGAAAAGTTGCAGATGGTCAAAGATTCACTTTCTCTTTAGCACATGTCCGATGGTGTGGCCTTTCCAGTCACAGTGAAGTGGCTGGAAAGATAAAGCTATAGATAGATATTTGTTCCCTCAGACAGAGTACACACAGTACACTTTGTTTGGCTGAAATCCAGAAGATGTGTCACCACTGACGCATGGTCTGTCCAAACAGGAAAAAAGAACGGACAAAAATATGACAGTGAAAAACATTATCAACATCAGTATCTTGAAAATATAATGAAAAATACTAGGGATGAAACAATAACCGAAATATCGTGATGTGATATATCATCAAAAGTCTCACAGTAATATCATCTGGCATCATAATATATCGAATCACAAGTTCCTTTGCTTAAATGCATGGTTTTATCGTAGCAACAGTTTATAAACATTGGTAACTACATATCCCATGATTCATTTCAGTGCAGACAACATGATGTTATGTTTTTTACTTGAATACTTGAGATTATTACAGTAATAATTCACACCAAAATCTTGTCAGGGTATTTTAAAAGCAAAAAAGCATCCTATCTACAATTATATCAGCCTCTCCAAAATATCACAGTAAATATCATGCCGTGAGATGCATATTGTCCTAAGAGAATTTGGATATCGTTACATCCCTAAAAAATACTGAATATTTTGAGATTACTATCAGAGAATTAGACAATCTACTTTAAATAACCTGTAAGTATTTGTTAGGGATGTAACAATAACCGAAATATTGTGATATCGTATCGTCAAAGTTCTCACAATTATATCGTGGACCATCACAATATATCAAATTACAAGTGTCTTTGCTTAAATTAACAGTTGTGGTGCAGCAATAGCTAAAAAAAGACAGAGGGAACTACATAGACCATGATCCTTTGCTCCATTTCAGTGCAGATTACAATAAGAAATAACAGTTCTAAACACTTTTAAGTCTTAGTTCTTTGGATTAAGTCTTGTCAAGGCATTTTAAGAGGAAAAAGTAGCATATTAACTAGGGGAGTAACGATATCCAAGTCTCATGATACAATATCGTCATGGTATGAACCTCAAGGTACGATATTTCTTGCGATATTGTGGGAAAGTTCACGATATGGTGGAGAGGATCACGATTAGGGATGTAACAATATCCAAATCTCTCAGTATGATATTCTCACGATATTTATTGCGATATTTTGTGGAGGCTAAACAGCCAATACTGTTAATTTGCTACTTTTTCCATTTTTAAAATGCCTTGACAAGACTTAATCCAAAGAACTAAGACTTTAAAGTGTTTAGAACTGTTATTTCTTCTTGTAGTCTGCACTGAAATGGAGCAAAGGATCATGGTCTATGTAGTTCCCTCTGTCTTTTTTTTTTTTTTTTTTTTAGCGATTGCTGCTCCATAACTCTTTAATTTAAGCAAAGACACCTGTAATTCGATATATTATCATGGTCCATGATGTTATTGTGAGAACTTTGACAATACGATATCACGATATTTTGGTTATTGTTACATCCCTAATATTGACAGTTTTGTTAGCTTCCAGAAAATATCACAATAAATATCGTACCGTGAGATGTATATTGTGAAAATATTGTACAGAGAGATTTGGATATCGTTACACCCCTAGTATTTGTGTAATCCCTCACAACACTATTATTTGTCGCACACAGGAGAGAGCTACGTCTGCGCCTCCATAGAACCCTATAAGAAGCTGGACTACACCAAGAACGTGAACCCGAACTGGGCAGTGGGCTCAGTGCGGACCGCCTCCCCCCACCACCCCCCGCCGGGCTCCAGGGACCCGAGGGAGAGCCGGGACTTCATCAGGCCCAAGCTGGTGACCATCGTGCGGAGCGGAGTGAAGCCGCGTAAGGCCGTGAGGGTCCTGCTCAACAAGAAGACCGCCCACTCCTTCGAGCAGGTCATGAGCGACATCACCGACGCCATCAAGCTGGACACGGGCGCGGTCAAGAGGCTCTACACGGTGGACGGCAAAATGGTAGATATACTGTCACGATAACAGCTTTTAGAGTAACGTTAAAGCAGGATAATTAAATGCTTTTAAGTGAATTATATTAAAGGTCCTATGTTACACAGAAGTGACTCTTGTGAGGTTTAGTCTTGTTAGAATGTTTATACATCCTGAAAAATGTAATTAGAGTTGTGTTTTTTTGCATTTGCACATGTTTGAGTAACTCTTTATTACATGCACACAAAGACACACACACAGGTACACACACACAGATGTAGGGACACACACAGAGACACACACACACACACACACACAGAGGTACACACACACACACACAGTTGTAGGGACACACACAGAGACACACACACACACAGACAGTTGTAGGGACACTCACAGAGGTACACACAGATGTAGGGACACACACACACACACACACACACAGAGACACACACACATAGACAGTTGTAGGGACACTCACAGAGGTACACACAGTTGTAGGGACACTCACAGAGATGTAGGGACACACACAGAGACACACACACAGATGTAGGGACACACACAGATGCAGGGACACACACAGAGACACACAGATGTAGGGAGAGACACACACACACAGACAGTTGTAGGGACACACACAGAGGCACACAGACAGATGTAGGGATACACACTGAGACACACAGAGGCACACACACAGATGTAGGGACGCACACAGATGTAGGGACGCACACAGATGTAGGGACGCACACAGACACACTCACACAGATGTAGGGCCACACACAGAGACCGAGACACACACATAGATGTAGGGACACACACAGAGGCACACACACAGACAGACACAGATGTAGGGACACACACAGAGGCACACACACACACACAGATGTAGGGACATACACAGATGTAGGGACACACACAGAGACACACACACACACAGACAGTTGTAGGGACACACACAGAGACACACACACACAGACAGTTGTAGGGATACACACACAGAGGCACATACACAGATGTAGGGATACACACAAACACACTCACACAGATGTAGGGACACACACAGAGACCGAGACACACACAGAGGCACACACAGATTTAGGGATGCACACACACAGACACACACAGATGTAGGGACACACACAGAGACACACACAGGTTTATAGACACACACACAGAGGCAGAGGCACACAAAAAGGCAGAGGGAAGGAGACACTGGAATTGTAGTCCATTGGTGCAGCTTAAAGTCAAAACTTGTGAAACGCAAGGACACATGAGGAGACACAAAGAGACGCTGTGGCCCTGACTCAGAACTTTCTCCTAAACAAGAGGACAGTGTTTCCTCTTCAGAACCACGCTCTTGCACATGTCAATTTAAAAAAATCATGTTTCGATTTTTGACACAGCCATAGTTTGATTTTATTCAGGTTTATGGAGAAGGAAACAAAACTGAACAAACGACCATCTGAGTTTCAGGCGCACAAATACGATCAGCACTTTTCCTCGAAGGCCTGCTGCTTAAGTGATAGCATCCCGTTTGCTTTCAAATACAACACACTCCAAACGCCAAAGTGCTTCCTTCACATCTCAGAGCATCATTAGATCATTACCTTTATTGACCTTATCGTAAGTGAAGCCGGAAATGCTTCTATAGAACTTCTAGTGTTTGTAAACAGAACAGATCTCCCTAAAGGCTCGTGCCATTCTATGTTTTCAACGTATTTTCAACGGGAGAGTTAGTGTTAATCTCCAAACTTCACAAACTATGACTACGTTCAGACTGCAGCCTGAAGTGACCCAAATCCGATTTTTTTGGACCCTATGTGACCTGTATCTGATCTTTTAATGACAGTCTGAACGACACAGATCTGATTTTTTTCAAATGCGACCCAGACCACTTGGATATGTGCTCCTAAAACCGATACATATGTGATCTTTTGACATGCGACTTCAATCTGGACGGCCAGGTCGCATTCATCCCACCTACACGTTATCAACAAGCAACAACTGTACACAAACGTTCTTCTCGTTATATGAAAATTCTTAATAAACTCCGTGTCACTGAAGCGAAGGACATCACTATCCCACCACTCTTGGCTACGTCTCTGCATCCACACGTTGCTTTCAATGGACTCCCAAGGTTACATACCACCATTCCGAGATTGATGTCTAATTGTTGGAGGGGCGGCATTTCCCTTTTTTTTTTTTTTTTCAAATCTCCCTGCATTCTGACTTTTTTTTCCCCTTGGTCGAAGTGACGGCACTCTAGCTTTTTTTTTTTTTTAACATTTCACCATTCCGACAAACAAGGTAATAAGTTCTGGCATCGCTCTTTTCAGGACAATATTTTCACAGACTGGCGTCGTAGGAGACACAGTGCAGGTTTCATGGTTTGGTCCTGGGTAAATCCTGGTTTAGACCTGACTTTAATCCTAGTTAAATCCTGGTTTAGACCGGATTTTAATACTGATTTAGCCCTGGTCTAGTACGGGTTTAGACCTGGTTTTAGTCCTGATTTAGTCCTGGTTTAATCCTGGTTTAGACCTGATTTTAGACTTGGTTTAGACCTGATTTTAGACTTGGTTTAAACCTGATTTTAGTCCTGATTTAGTCCTGGTTTTAGTTCTAGTTTAGACCTGGTTTTAGTTCTGGTTTAGACCTGTTTTAGTCCTGATGTAGTCCTGGTTTTAGTCCTGGTTTTAGTCCTGTTTTAGTCCTGTTTTAGTCCTGTTTTAGTTCTTATTTAGAGGCGCGGCCCATGCAACCTGCGCAAGAAGACACGGTCCAAGTGGCGTATATAAGCCAAAACTGGTGACGCTCCAAACTATGAGTAGATTGTCTGAATGGCGACATTAAAGGTGTCGGAATGGAGGGTTGCCAGAATGACGGAATGTCTGGCTGGGGGTCTGTCGGAGTGGCGGTTTGTCGGAATGAGGGTTGTACCCCGTGACACCATACATACATTAGCAAACACAGCCAAATAAAGTTTTTCAATCGCCTAATAAGACACTCTTTAAAAGACACATTTCCAGGAATCTGTGATCAAAAGCGTTCCTGCTGAGGTGTTTCACGGTCAACAAAAAGTGAGAGTAACTAAATGAACTGACTGTACAGGAGGGACTTGTTTAACTGCACATGAGAGGGACGTGTTCAAGTACAAATCGTCTCACCTGTCATAGCTCAGATCAGTTCTGTATGATGAGATTGTGCTAAAACAAAGCTCAGATTAAAGTCTAACAGAGCCTCAGACTGAACATGCCTACAGGTAGCATCACACCTCCAGGGAAAGTTAAAGTCATCTGCTGCAAATAGTTCTTGAATTCCTGTTGTGATGTTGCTTTTCTGTTAAAATGAACAGGACAGAATGTTAATATCAGGACCAGGCTGTGTGCAGAACAGATTTAAACACTTGTTGAGTCGGTCCATTAGGCTGAATTCACTAATTAAACATGTTGCGATCTTGTTTGTTCAAACTCAGCTCATTTACCGGAGTCTAACTCACTGCAGACTGGATGTGCTCTGAGAGAGGCTTCTTTGGACAAAACCCAGAAGACAGATTACACGTGGGGATATTTGCTAAATGTATTACAGAAGTAGGTTTCTAGGACTCCATCTACCAGTAGTGCACTTTTGGTTATTATTAGTAACCTTTATAATCTTCAAAACAGGCAAGCAACTCACTCTATAGTCCACAGTAGTCACTAGTTTATTTTCATATTTTAACGGTGTAACTTTTCTTGTTACATTGCTGTCTGTTTGTCTGTAGATGTTATTTCTTTACACAGAATGTTCCACAGTGTGTTGCTTTAAATGTATATCGTCTGTCTCAGTGTTTCCCAAACTTTTTTTCTGGGGACCCATATTTTAAAAGTCACAAACCTTCACGACCCAAATCAAAAGACATTATTTGTAAATCAAAAAAATAAAGGTAGATTTGACCATTAGTTTTAAACAATGAAAAAGTTTTAAACAATGAAAAACGGTCATTGAAGCAGCAATAAAAGGATCCATAAGTTGCCTATTTGGACATTAAGCCCATTTCTTGTTCTTTTCAACATTCAATTGAATCAGCAATATTGGAACAAAATAGTCAATAAAATAATTACAAAAAGAGGGGTGCAGGAGGAGATTTTTGTAGGGAAAAATATAAGCATGTTACGTAACGAATATGTAGTCAGAAAAGCAAGTCTTCAACATTGACACTGACATTACCACAGCTGCTACGATCTGAAATAAGCAGATTGTTTGTAAAAGAATAACGACTGGATTAGATAAATACAATATGATGTCCCTCTCTCAGATGGGAACATGCGCTTTGAGCTTTCTACTATGTATTATTTATACTATATAATATTGTTCTCTCATCAAAAACATGCCTGAGGATATTTTAGATGCCATCCGTGCATGTTTGAGTAATCTAGCAATCTCTCCTGGTCACTTTCTGAACCCTTTTTATGGTTAGCAGTGTGAGTTCAGTGCCACAAGCCTTCGTCATCCATCCTCCCACACTACAGTTTTCCATAAATATACAAAAACAAAACAATAGACTACAACTTCACAAACCTGATGTGATATGCAGTAGTTTCGTTAGTGGGATGCACGCTGATTTAGTTGTGAGAAGTAAGATACGATAAACCTTAAGGCATTGTTTTCGGTGAATATAGCATTTTGAAAACAATGTTAAGTGTTAGTGGTTAAAGGGACAGTCCAGAATTTTGGATATAGGACGTCATTTTCTTGTGATCCAGAGTGTTGGAGACGTGTGGAGACACTTTTTAAAATATTCCATCCAGTCCTTGTATTTGCAGAGGTCGCTGGTGCTAGACTAGTGCATGTCAATGACCATAATTATCCTGCCACTAAAAACAGTCTTACCCACTCCACAAAACACCCAAAGCAAATCTATTATTACACCAGACTGTCAATGTAAATATCTGTGTTGATAGAATAATGTTTGAAATAAAACTAAGGTTGCATCTCATGAATCGTCGCATGTTGAGGGACTATTTTCTCATATATCAGTCCGCCGCTGC